CAACATCAGAACCCTTGGTATGCCATCAAAAATGCTTATTTCAAAAATCATAACTCATGAACCAAATGGTGAAATTTTTTTAAAACCGGAATATTTAAACTTTGTATCGTAATCTTTTTGACAAATCAATAAAAATCAATAAAATTTGTTTGGAGTAGTTCCCTCTTACAGAATTTTTAAAAATTTTCCTTAAGTTTTCGAAAACATAAACTAAAGCCATATGCAAAATTTGAAGAAATTTCACCGTTCAGTTTTTGATTTTTTTCAGTTTGAATATTAACATTTATAGAGCGCGCGCGATCAAGAAAAACTGTTGCGAGCCTCCTTAACTGACAATTGGCCAAAAAATAGTAGTTTACTGACAAATAACCTAAAATTACTAGTTAACATTTAACTGATAATAAATTAATACTATGGCCAGCGCTCGTAAAATTGTTACAGTTAACTGACATTCGATCGAAAAACTTTCTGCGGTGAACAACCACTTCGGAGAAAACATTTTTTCAATAATATATTTTACAATGAAATTAAGAAGGAGCAGGTTTATTCTCACTTTTTCTTCCCACCATTTTCATTTCATTTCTCGTTATTGTTTTCTCTCACGTCGAATGAGATTCTATTCCCTGACTATTCACAAAATTCACTGAATTAACTCTACTGAAATCCTATGAAGGGTTAACTCAAAATTGATTAATTATAAACTGGCGAAAATTTCAAATGTTAATTTAAAGAGTAAAACATTTAAAGGCCTGTGAAATTCTTTTTCTTTTTTTAAATTAACTCCGCCCTTTTGTGCAAAGGAGAGAAATTAGTTGGAATGTAACTGATGAAATAGATGAAAACGAAAACTAAATAAAATGAATTACAGGGGAACTGCACACGGCTTCCGCCAGTATAACACTGCGGGCCCTTTAATGATACCTATTCATTTGTCTCTCACGATTGAGGGTCATTTGTAGCTTCGACTACAAGCCGCTATAGTCTTCATCAGGCAATGGTGTAGACTGGATGGTTATATGAAATTCAGTTACATACACCATCGCCTGATGAAGACTAGCAGCTTGCAGTGAAAACGATGCAAGATAAATAATGTTTTTCATTCTATTCAAATTCGTGTAGTTTGGTGTTGTCATAGCAACAGTAACGAAGGGTGTTACTTGTCATTAACTGAGGAAATTAAAACAAAATATATTTTCAAACTTTTATATTTTATAAATTTGAGTATTGTTCAAAAATAAAAGGAAGCGGACATCTTTTTCAAAACAAGAGAATGAACAGCTTAAAAGAACTGTACAAACGCTGCCACAAAGCCATTTGCTGGTGTCAGTCAGTACAGCAAGATTAACCGTAGTCTTCACTGAGTTCTGGAGTAAAGAATACGTGAAAATTAAGGTGGCTAGTTCGAGGCTAGGCCGACATGCGTTGCAAAATTTACGGGTTATATTTTTTGATTGCTTCGTTTTTTCTAATCATTGGTTTGTGTCTTGTAATCGTTGGAGTCGTCATCGGATTGGGTATCACAAGCAGCGTTGAAAAAGGCCTACAGGATCGCTACTGTATCGACAGTAAAGACCATCCCGATTACAGCAAATGGGTAAGTTGAAGAAAATTGTTCGTTGTATTGATTTCCCCTTGTGTGTTACACTATGAGCAGGGGCTATTTTTGTTTCACTCCTGTCCATAGCCGGGGCGTAGCGGCGCACAGAAAGATCTTTCTCAGTAATATGCCCTTTATATACCATCGCTTTATCCTTCAAAAAGATCTTCAAATTGTTTCAAACCTTGAAACAACCTCTAGGCTGATCTAAGTCAGGGCACGACTAACTCACAATTTGAACCCTGAAACAACCTCTGGGCTGATCTAAGTCAGGGCACGACTAACTCACAGATCGAACCCTGAAACGACCCCTTGGCGGATCCGGATCAAAGTCGGTGCATGGCTAACCCATAAGTCGAAATTAATTTTAGCGTGTTAAATCTGCGGTGGGAGGAAAACTGGATAATCCGGAAAAAAACCTTCAAATCAAGGAAGATACCCTAACAAACTCTACTGACATGTGGTGTCCAGGAATCGAGTCCAGGAATCGAACCTAAGATTGCAGAGATGAAAGGGGGTGAGTGCAATAACTCTACCCTTGATTCTCGCGTTACTTTTTCATTGATGTTTTCTTTTGTTCTTCTAGGCCAACCCTCCTCCTTACGAAACACTGCTTTACTTCTGGGAGGTCTTGAACGGAGATGACATGTTGTATAATAGGAAAATCCCAAAGGTAATGAAAAAAAAAAAATGAAAAAAAAAGGTTACAAGCGGTGGCTAGAAAACCATTACAAGTAACGCTGTATATAGACGATTTGAATAACTTATCCATCCCATCCCATTCATCCATTCATCCGGCATCCATGCATCATCCATCCATCCATTCATCCCATCCATTCAAATCTTTCATCCATCCATCCATCCATCCATCCATCCATCCATCCATCCATCCATCCATCCAAATCACCTATGCCATCCGTCCATCCCTTTTAATCATTCATTTTTTTATCGTCTTTCCAGGTAGCTGAAAGGGGACCGTACGTTTACAAAACCACCGTCAAGAAAATCGATGTTGTGTTTGACAAGCAAGGCCGCGTTACGTACAAAGAATTCATACGACAAGAATTTGACAAGGACGCTACAAAACGGAGATGTCCTATGTGCAACGAGGATGACAAGGTATCAATAAATAAAAGCAGAATGTCTTCACCCCTTTAACCCCTCCCCACAAAAGAACAGTCTTTCCCCACCCCTCTCCCMTAAGAGAACGTCTTTCCCCACCCCTTTGCTTACCACCCTACTTCCTCGTAGCAATTCCATCCTATGCAATGTTAAATTATTTACTCATTTATTTTATTTATTAATTCATTTTTAGTTGACAGTTGTGAACAAAAAAATTTTCGAACTGTTACTCACCATGCAATGGGACACAAGAATAGCATCATTTTTCCTCCCAGGAGTTCTCCAGCGATTTCTTTTAGAGATGGACAAGAAGACAGGACGCAATGCTACTTACGCCCAGATAGGTCGCTTTCAGCCCTCTCCCATGCCTTCAACCCATCCTTTATATTCGTATGAGGTTGGACAATACATCGYGAAGAACATAGCAATAGACCCGAAACTTCAAGGCACTGTGATCCAAAGAGGCAGAGACTACAACGAGACCGAAATGCGAGGTTTATACGAAGCGTTCATAGACCCGCAATTCTTCTCTTGGGCTGACGGTAATAACTTCTTTATTTGCTATAATAACTTTAGAACTTCTAAATGTGGAATTTCAATCTACATGTATCACTACACAAGACTATTCTTACTAAAACAAGGAGGCAACGTCTCGCCAGAGGATGTCCAAACAATAGACAGTGATATTAAAGAACTCTTTTCGCTAATGGCGAATGTTTTATGCCCGAGCAAGACCCAGTGTTTTCCCCTCGATTCAAATGGTATTGATGTCCTCTCTTTCTTCTTTGGGGAATCTGTCCTGCCTTTGGTCATGTCCGACGCCGTAGAAAAGAGCTTTGTTTTCACCAAACGAAGCCAGAAAGAACTCGCCCTTGGCTATACTGACCCTTACTATCCTATCTTTCCTAATTCCCCCGATGGAATAGCTGTCTTGGGGTATTTGGTTCATGACGTTGACGTAAATGCTACCCGGGAAAGAGGAGAAACGAAATCCTTTTACACTTGCTCAACCAGCAAAGACAAGTCATTTACCTGGGCTGGTGAGTCTGAAATTTTGTCTATACAAAATAATAGCTGTTAGAAATTTCGCTTTTTGATTGGATGAGGTGCGTGCTTTATGAGAGAGTACTCGGCATGCAGGTGCATTTTATATTTCGTCATTCGTAATCAAACGATAGTGATGGTGATGGTGATGGTGATGGTGATGGTGATGGTGATGGTGATGGTGATGGTGATGGTGATGGTGGTGGTGATGGTGATGGTGATGGTGGTGGTGATGGTGATGGTGATGGTGATGGTGATGGTGATGGTGATGGTGATGGTGATGGTGATGGTGGTGGTGGTGGTGGTGATGGTGATGGTGATGTGATGATATTGATATGATGATGATGGCGCTTGATGGTCTTGATGATGGTTAAGGTGATAATGATAATGATAGTGATGATGATGATGATGACAGTGATGTGACGGTAATGATGATGTGATTATGATGATAATGGTGATGATTGTGACAATGTTGATGGTGAAGAAGATGATGATGATGGTGAGGATGATGCTGATGATGATGATAATGGTGATGATTGTGACAATGTTGATGGTGAAGAAGAAGATGATGATGGTGAGGATGATGCTGATGGTGACGATGAGGATGAGGATGAGACAGTGATGAATAAATTGGTCTCAAAGTTATTTTCTCGTTTTTAACATCCTAGAGTACCGTGGCCATACTGGAGTCTTTCGGGCGGGTGTTGAAACTCCATTTAAAACAATAAAAAGCTACGACAAACAGCTTCCACCAGCTGCCAAAATATCTCTTTGCCAGAACGACTTCATCCAAACAAACCAAAAAACCTTAAAACTGTTCCTTCCAGAATTATACCAAGTCAACGATCTGTATTTTGCTGGCATGAGCGTCAATTCCGGTAATTCAGTTCCAAGTATGACGTTCAACCTCGACAAGACTGACCTAGCTAATGTTACCTTCAATGGGACTATTCTTGGTGACCATGCGAGAGTCAAAGATGTGACCTTGATAAATGGTTTTGCAAGTGTCACTAGTCTACCTTACTTCGTTGACTCTCGAAGGAATTTTAGAAGAAGGCACAACATCTCGGATCCTGATATCGAGAGCTCTCGTTGTCATGTAAGTGAAACATGGATACGGACACCTTGTTTTTATGGACACTTGTTTTGTCCCAGTGATATGCATCTACTCTCACACGAACCTGCTTAATACGGCCACCCTGTTATTACATACACTTGTTTTGTCCCATGTAGTGATATGCATGTACTCTTATATGAACCTGCTTAATACGACTGTTATTACGGACACTTGTTTTGTCCCAGTGATATGCTTCTACTCTTATATGAACCTGCTTAATACAGACAGCCTGTTGTTACTAGCACCTTCCCCCTTTCCTTATATGTTATTGACTTTTCGTTCATTTATGTCAGGTTGGCTTCGATCCCCTGACAGGCCAAATCGTTGCAGCCAAAATACGATCACAAGTTAGTGTCGCTTTGACTAAAACGAATATCCTAGATTCTTTTGATAAACGCACCAGGAAGATAAACATTGGGTACACAAATCCTTCATGGCCAGGCGGATTTAAGTACATACCTATGTACTGGACTGAGAAGAGCTGGACAGTTGAGCAAGGTGAAATTGAAAAGGTAACTTCTTAATAAAACCCAAATACTAGAAACACGAGTAACTCATCACTAGGAGCATCACTATCTCTCATACTGGGTCTGTGAGCAAGCATATTCCCAGATCTGGACCTCATTACTAGGAGCATCCATCTCCCATACTGAGTCTGTGAGCAAGCATATTCCCAGATAAGAAGGTCATTACTAAGAGGCATCCATCTCCCACGCCGGGTCTGTGAGCCAGCATATTCCCATATCTGGAGCCCATTACTAGGAGCATTCGTCTCCTATAATAGGTCTATGAACCCATATTCCCAGATCAAGAATCCATCACTAGGAGCATCCATCTCCCATGCTGCATGGGCCTGTAAGCCATCATGTTTCCATATCAAGAACCCATCACTAGGAGCAGCTAACTCATATACACATATCTGACAATTAATTTCGCCTCTTTCTCTCTCTGTAGTTTTACCAGAGCTTGCAAATGGCTTGTGAAATAACAGTGTATCTGTCTTCCACTAGTGGCGTCTTCATCTTGGCCTCCGTAATCATGTTTATTGCATTTGCAATAACAAAACGCGCTAATTCTGTTGCAGTGATTCATTCCCCATCAACAGAAAATTAGCTCGATAAAAGCCTCCTTGAACAAAAGGGAAGCGAAAATATGTTGTTGTTTTACAGTCAAACTACCTCAAGCATGAACACGGAGAGATCATTAATGACTTTATTTTTGGATTCTTGATTTCATTATTCTATTCGAACATTCATTATTGAAAACCAATCTTCAAAGCCTGGCATATACAAAAGCCAAGCATATATGCAACTGAAATGCAAAAACAATTTTTTGTGCAAGGAATATGTAATAATAATAATGACTTATCTTCTGTTTGCRCTATAAATAAGAGCCTACAAGCCAAGTTAGTCGAATTTTCAAATTATTATTTTTTGAATATTGAAGATTGGTTTTCATTAATGAATCTTCGAATCGAATAATGAAATCAAGAATCCAAAAATAAAGTCATTAATGACCTCTACGTGTTCACGCTTGAGATGGTTTGACTGTAATCAGTTGATTCCATTTTCTATCATTTGTCAACTATATTTCTTTGTTAAATATTACATTCTTTCTTTTTACTCATTGCGAATAACAAAAGTAAATTTCACTTGGTGTTGTACAGTTTTTATTTTTAGCCAACCGCGTAATAATGTCATTTTTTAAAATTAGGAGCGGAGTTTTGCGATTTTCCCGCCCGCTTCCCGCCATTTTTACCACCCATGCGCAGTTGGAACACATTATATTTTGACGACAAATGTATAAAGAAATGGCCGACTAGTCCTCATTAACGAAAAGTGCAATACGCGCCAAAATATCAAGTCACTTGGAGTTGAAGTGGCTTGGCTTGTATAAATGCTAAACCTGTTAAGTCCTTAATTTAAGTACGAGTTTTTGACTATTTGAGTGTGTATTATGATAACTAGCTTGTAAATCGCTTCAGCTCTCAGCCGTACCCGCCAAGTTACGAGACCGTTATTTCATTGTTTTGAAAATGTCTTCTCTTCCATGTGACCATATTTTTCAGAATGTGGATTATAACACATATGTTATTCCCCTAACTTAGCCGTTCTTTTTTAAGGCATTCGAGGCATTCGTTACGGCAGAAAATAATTTAATTGGGGCAAAATGAAAGTATCATACATGTAGAAAACAACCACATCAAAACCGCCGTCTTTTGCCTCTGACACAAAGAGAGTCAGACATGAATGGAAACATTTCGTGCTTGAGTACCGACAGGGTTAAATTACATACGAAACAAAAATGTCACGCATTTGTTATTATTTCGGTTTCAAATTTTAAGCCTTTTTCGACACTGACAGATATAATCCTCGAATCTGTCTTCTGAAACAAAAGTTGTCATTATTAACCCAGATGTTGACATCTGTAACAAACATCGTAATATATGTCACGCAACGCTTCCACCACGCGGTCACTTAGGCATGTCACATCGTCGCCGACTTCTTCTATCAATAGTCAGTCTGTCGTCCAACATATCGGCGGCAGTTGCATTGCGGTTTCGAAACATTACACTTTACAAGCGCCCAGAAAAATGGATCCTGCTATCCCTGCTGCAGATGAAAAGGCAATGATTTCCCAGAAGCGTAAAAGGACTTTAGATGGACGAGGTTAGTAGGATAGCCGATAAAAGGATTGAATATTCAGTCGAGAAAGCGAGGCGATTTTGGCGACTTGTGAAGGTTGAATAGACTCAAAGTCAGCGACATGACCGTATGGAAGATAGGTCATTGAAAGTTAATTCAAGATTGCAGCACAAAAAATATGAACTTTAAAAAAACAATTGGTCCTTGGTTTTTGCGATGAGGAAAATTTGCTTTTATTTTTCTTAAATTTCACGTAAAAACCCGAGCTTAGTTTCCCCCTAAATGAAATGTTAGCCACACGCAAGACAAGACAAGTCTTGTGTGTTTCGACATCGCAGTCTTGAGGTAATTCTATCTCAAACTGGATCAGACTGAACAGGAAACCCTGTGTTCTACACGTCTGATAACTCAAATAAGGTCGATAGTTTTGTCTTAGAGGTTAATGTTTGTAGTCCAAGGAGTTTATTACAAAAACAGCCACCTAGAATTAACTATGGCTGGAAATTTGCATAAGTTGAAAAGAGAATAAGTCGTTTGTCAAACCTTCAACAGCTGTACAGCTGAAAACATCGTTTCGTTTTAGTCTTTGACACTTCGTGATTTTTACAGTTCAAAAAGACTCACAATTCAGAAGTTTTATGTACTTGAATGCTAGTTTTGGATGAGGAAATGGCGTTTAAATTTAGAAGTCAATTTTGGATAAATGTTTGGGAATGGCAGCTCAACACAAGCCGATGATATAAAATATTCTATTCTAGTAATTATGCGAGAAATGACAACAAAACAGTGACTTGCATGTCAAAATTCATCTAAAAGCTGAAACGTATGCATCCAATAATAATAAAAAAGATATAATTAGATTTAAAAATAGGAGAATACTTTTCCACCATTTCATTCTTTTTTTTAAATTTCAATTCATGAAAACTTCAAAATATAATTTGAATCATGAATCGATCTCCCTGACTTCCTCACGCGCATAACAACAAAGTTTTACCACTTCGAAAACAAACAAAAAATTAGTTTATTTTCCTTTTATTCCTAATAACCTCAAGTTTGTTTTTTACTCTATGATGGCATATTCTAAACGGGGTCATATTCCCAGTAGCAATCTCCATTAGTTTCAATCCAACCAATGTCGTCTGAAGAAGATAAACTAATTTATTAACACACCGAAAAATGTCGTTCAAAATATATTCTAGAATATATCATTGTCTAAGATAGATCCAGTGGCTAACATCAATCATAATTGCGCTTTCAAATTTGATAAACATCGGAGTCAATTTATGTTGATAGTGTCCATAATATCTCGATTGCTCAGTCTTCGACCTCTTGCTGATGTCTTGACGGCGTGGTTAACGTGGTTAAGGGCATTTTTACTTTAAGTTGATATAAAGTGATCTCCTACCGTTTCGTGTTTCACTGAGAGGACACAGTGCTGTAGTCTTCTGGTCGATGCGCCCTTTCTAGGACTTTTCGTTCAAAATGAAAGCTTTGGTCATCCCTCCCCTCGACCTTTCCTTTCTTTCCTCGTTACTTTTCTTTTCCTTTTTCTTTCTAACTTTTCTTTCCTTTTCTTTTCTTTCCTTTCCTTTCCTTTTTACTTTTCCTATCCTTTTTGTTTAATTTCGTCTCCTTCTTTTGTCATTCCCTTTCCTATTCTTCCTTTCTTCTATCCCCATTCCCTCCCTTTCACTTTCTTTTCCTTCTTATCTTACAGAGTGTAAAGTATGTGGTGATCAGTCCACTGGTAAACACTACGGCGTCTATTCCTGTGACGGCTGCAGCGGTTTCTTCAAACGAACCTCCCGCCGTTCCGAACCCTGGGTATGCAAAAGCGATGGCAAATGTGACGTTGACAAGAACAGTCGAAATGAATGCAAGTCTTGCCGACTGCACAAGTGTTTGGGGGTCGGGATGAGTATGGAAGGTAAGGATTGGATGGGGAAAGAAATGAGAGGGAAATGAAAAGATGAAGAGATGTGAAAATAAAGGGACAAAAGACATGACGTCCGCCCTATTGTCACGGTACAGAATTGACGACACCCTTTAAACCAATTACAGCGCGCGAGATCATTAATCAGGAAATGACAATGCCGTTGGTGTCGGCAGTGTCACGGCAGTGCATGCTTGAATGAGGTTTTCATAGTCGTTTAAAAATTTGCTTTAATTTTCAGAAATACATTTATCCAAGAGAATATTAAGTATTTATCCAAGAGAATATTAAGTATTACTTCATATTCTCTTGATTTATCATATGACCCGTATCTGCCCGGGCGCGCGCTCTTTGAAAAACATTCGGGAAAATGGCGCTCGAATCCGCGCGCTTTCTCTTTTTTAGCTTTTATACGGCATCACCTCGAGCCAAATATTTTCCCGTACGGCCCTCYCACTCAGCCAATAAGTACATAATTTTCATACAGGAAAAAAATATCTAATTGTGTAATTAATCACTATCCTAGGTGTTTTTAGGCGGTCGAGGCTGCTTACTGCTACAGGTTCATTCAGTGAAACCTTTTCCAACTCGTCGATGAATACGGATGATAAAGAGCACTACACTAGGCTAACCAATGAAACTCCTGAGAATCAAAGTGAGTAGTATAGTAGGGGAGGGGAGGGACAGTGATTATTGTCGTGGGAGGGTCATGTTTTTACGAACAAGTGCATTTGTCCAAGTTCGTTTGTGCGGAGTCTATTTGAGCTGAGATCCGGATAATCCTTCGTGAACTCAGACACTTGGCTAGACTTCTATCTAGCCCTTGTGGCTTTAGCTTTAGATATCCTTAAGAGTACTTTCAGTCTATCTGTATGTATCGGACTGTCTTCCTGTCTTTCGGTCTGTCTGTCTTTCGGTCTGTCTGTCTTTCGGTCTGTCTGTCTTTCGGTCTGTCTGTCTGTCTTTCTTCCGGTCTATACTAGAATCTACTGGCTTCTAAAATAATATACTTTTTCCCCTCCTCGTCAAGGTACCACGGTTGAGAGTGTAGCCGTTCACAAACCACTATCAGCCCTCAACACACCGCTGAACACAAACACCGTCATCAAATCCGAAACAATCGAGAACCCCGAGATCCAGGCTCATCCCGTCGAATCACGTGACTTAGATCCGACCAATAAGATATCGAGAACCAGTTCAGCAATGGAAACAGCGGCATCGCTGCAACAGTTAGCCAACTCGCACTGCCACACTCCTCCTTCATCAGTTGACCCGCATAATATGAGAAGAACGTTACTGGTGAATACGTCCTCGACCTCCCGGGAGTCTCAGCTAGAGAATATTGCATCATCGTTATCGTCGTTAAGGAGTCGAGTCATCACAACTACGCATGCGCAGAACCAAAACCAAGTATTTCTGAACGGCACTGCCAATCAGCAGACCAAGACACCTAGTCAGATGTGCTCCATACACGAGCTTCTTAAAGCCGTTGAAGCAGTTCATTTTAACTCGAGTGAAAACATCCAAGATGCCGCCATGAGATTGATGACTGCGTCCATACGTTTCGCGCGCAATCTGCCTTGTTTCACGCGAATTCCTTTTCGAGACCAGATTATCCTACTCGAGGAAAGCTGGAAGAAGCTCTTTCTGTTGGACGCTGCGTACTGGGCTCTACCTCTTGAAACCGGAAGTCTTAGCGTAGCCAATGACGTCACTAGGAGACCAAACTCCACAGAAATCAAAACAGTTCAGGAATTATTAACACATCTTAGATCTTTTCGCGGCGATCTTACTGAGCTTGCTTGTCTAAAGGCTATCCTTATCTTCAAACCAGGTATTAATAATGTGCATGTAACCAAAAACACGAATTTTTTGTTTTGTCTTGACATTTTGGAATGCTCGTGGTGAAGAAGATTGCGTTGGCCTCGAGTAAATTCTCAGGACTTTCCGAAGTGTTCCAAAACATATTCATTTTAATTTCAATCCATCTCGACATCTTTCCACTGAGTACCTATATTATTCCGGGGTTCAGAAAAAACTGGGTCAAGTTGGCATTGCAGTTTGTTGTGGGGCGGTTTTAGGGGACAAAATAGACGCCATCTTCGAAATATGTCTCCTCAAACAGTCCCACAATGCACTGTAATACCAATACGACCCAGTTGTTTACCAACCTCGCAAAGGCTAATAACATTGAATTTTTAAAGTAAATTTGTTTTTCCCATTTTTTTTTTTTGTCTAGTCCTTTGAACTTTGGAGTAAAATAGAGTTCGACCTTTTTTTTTTTTTGCTTTAGAAACTAAAGGCCTGAAAGACGCTGAAACAGTTGACAAGATTCAAGACGAGATTCAGCTTTTACTGTCAAGTCACGTAACCTCGACGCACCCGAACCATCCAGCAAGATTCGGGAAACTTTTGTTGAGTCTTTTAGCTGTACAGAGCGTAGCAGAGAAACCAATCGAAGAAATACTTTTTAGAATAGCAGACGATAAAGACATTTTTGAGACACTATTGTCAAAGCTGATCGACAGCTAAAGTCAGTCAGTGACTTACATGAACTTTGTCATGCACAGAGGTTTCAACGTGAGACTTCATGCATAATGCTCAGTGATTTAGGAACCTCTGTGTGTGAAAAGCGAAACATACCTCGGAAGTACTATTTGGCTGTTGGTACCACTTGACATCATTTTGAGTTTGTTCGATTTTTTGGAACATTTTCTTTTTGCTTTTGATATTGAACAAAAAAGGAAAAGGGTATCAATTTCTTAAAATTCTCTTGCATGTAGGGACTGTAACCATGGCAGCGGGACGTGTCTCATATATTATCCACATGCACCAACGCAGTATTGACAAGATGTCAGGATTTTTTTACCAACCTAAATTTCAAAATGTAGACAGTAAAATCTTTCTTTCCAAATTTTAGGCTCTATTTTTTGCAGGACTTCAATTTTGACATATATGCTGGAGGTAGAAGCCATCTTTCGTGCGCATGCGCACTTATTATTCCTCTTGTTCTTTCCAAAATGATTTATTTAAAGTTCATTTTGATTTAAAGATTAAATGAAATTAACCAGGACCATACTTCCAGACATCGAGTGCTGAACCGTCGTATGGACTTACGGCTACGCCGGAGATTTCGACCCCGGCACCGCTATCCCGGGAGGATTTATAGACTGATCAGGAAGCTCRGCCGAAGCCTAAGGGAGAGGTTAGTCAGCCCCTAGACCGTAGATGATTAACCCCTTGCTATGAACAGCAGACCTGATATATCGATAGTATCAATGAGGACTAAGATGTCATGATCAATCCCTTCCATGTGGGATGCGTTTGGCCCCGTCCACACTAAAAATATAAAAAAGTACAGATACGCCATATCATCATCTGCGCATGCGACGAAACAGACGTGCAGGTGTAAATGACGTCAGCTTTTTCAAAAACCTATGTTTTTGCCATCCTCGGGAACCCAGGGGTAAATTCTGTCACTCGTTTCTTGCTACCAGAAAAAAATAGAAAGAAAGAAGGGACAGAATTTTACCCCTAGAATCCTAAAACGTTAGGCCTCCATTTTCAAACGTCTCCACTTTGTAATTGGAGAGACTTTTCAATTAGCGTGAACGCAAAGCCAAAATGTACGAAAACGCATCAGTGTTGATAGGGTCTTAATGAATACACTTCTAGAAGTTCGAAAACGACTGGAGCCTAGCTTTTCCCCCGCATAGGATTGTGGGACGGGAATTTGAAATTCCATGCAGAATCATTCCGCCATTTTGTTTCTTGACATCTCAAACCAGATCACAGGAAGAAGAACCTTTTGATGGACATGAAGGTGAGAATATATTACGACTAAGTAAGTCTTACTTAATGTAAATATTTTTTCAGTTAGTTTCTTGATAATGATGACAGGATGTCATCGAAACGTCGATATCTATCTGCGTTAGTTTTCTGATTAATTTTAACAAAAGTCAATATTATATTTTGAATAATACAATTCGAATCCAACAAAATATTATGATTCGAAAAAGCAGGTTAAAATTAGTAAAAGTGAAGAGTTTGAAATAAATCAGTCGGCAAATACGAAACGTGAAATTAAAGCCCAAAGTTTGCACATTTTGTACGAATTTGTATGATGATGGGCAAGAGCTTGGCCTATCAGCCATTCCGAGGTTAAAGAAAAAAACTGGGTTGAGTTGGTATTGCATTGCATTTTGGGGCTGTTTTAGGGTACGAATTAAATGGACGCCATCTTGGAAATGTGTCCCCCTAAAACAGTCCCACAATGCACTGCAATGCCAACTAGACTGTTTTTTCCTTGGCTACGACACTGATTTACGTATTTAATTTGACAATTAATCAGTTAATGGCGGGAAAATTGTCACATGATCTTGAAGAACATAGATTAACTGTTGTCAATACTGCTTACAGCATTGGACTCTCGAGATCCTTTTTTATAAGCTAAAATAGCAAGGATGAATCCAGCCACTAGACTAAGCCCGCCGATGATTGGCACTACTATGGTAACGCTGCAGGCGACGCGGATTATGTTCACGAGCTGAAATGATAAAAGGAATGAATGAATGAATGAGTCAGTGAGTGAGCGAAAGAACGAATGAAAGAATAAACAAACGAGCAAAATGAATGAAGGAATGAACGAACGAACGAATAAATGAATAAACAAGCGAACGAAAAAACGATAAGATAAACGAACGAACGAATAAAAGAATGAATGAATGAATGAATGAGTCAGTGAGTGAGTGAAAGAACGAATGAAAGAATAAACGAACGAGCAAAATGAATGAAGGAATGATCGAACGAACGAATAAATGAATAAACAAGCGAACGAAAAAACGATAAGATAAACAAACGAACGAACGAATAAAAGAATGTATGAATGAATGAATGAGTCAGTGAGTGAGTGAAAGAACGAATGAAAGAATAAACAAACGAGCAAAATGAATGAAGGAATGAACGAACGAACGAATAAATGAGTAAACAAGCGAACGAAAAAACGATAAGATAAATGAACAAACGAATAAAAGAATGAATGAATGAATGAATGAAMAAACAAATGAATGGTGGTGTGCATATCTTTCCATTTTAAAAATAAAAGTACATAGGAAATGGCCGCTATATCGGTTGTCATAAAAAAATTCAAGACCAAGTCTTTTGTTTAAGTCAACCAACATGGCGGATATGACGTCAGTCTCGTACCGTGACTGTGTACTGTGTCAATAATACCTTATCATCTAGCGCTATTGCATCTGCTTCTGTAAGAGTCCTTCCTTGCTCTGCCCAATAGATAGGGAAATACTTGGTTAACTTCTTCTCTTCCATATCATAGAAGGTTATGTTTAACGGTACAAGCCTTGGTGAGCTGATCACGCCTTTTGTTATGACTGAGTTGACTTGGAACCGAAATTTTAGGTTCATGGGCCAGCCAGTGATTGGTTCGATGTCAACCTATATTGACCAATAAGAACAACCAGTCAAATGATGTTTTGCGCTCTATTCTTTGGGGACCCTGATTGGTTGAATGTCACCTATATGTTAACCAATGACAGACGATCACACAAGAGATGCGCTCATGGTTAATAGAGGCTTTGCGCCATCATGTGATGGCAGCCATGAAAGGAGGCACAACAGTCTTTTTCCTTTGGGGAAACTGAATTCTATTTCACGTAAATCAGATCAGATTCAATTGTTCCTGCCTCCTACCGTGGCTGCCATCACAAGATGGTGCAAAGCCTTTCTAAGATAACACATAGCAGAGCAGAGCTGCCGGTGCAAAAGTTTAAGTAAATACGTTGTACGAAAGCATTAGAGAGTTTTAGATTTACGTTCACGGAAAAAGTGAAACGTCAGTTGACCAGTAAAAAATTCTTTTAAATTACTGAAAAAGAATCGCAAAAAAGTCCAAGTAGTAGAAAAACRAAAGAGTATTTGCGCTTGGTGAGAAAGTTTGTAAAAGGTAAAGTAAAATACAGGAAAACTATGAAAACGTGGTCACGTTTGCCGTTTGCGGGGAGAAAAAAAGTCAATCTAAAACTCTCTATTATCATGATAAATGCATTCCATAATATGAATGCAATTGAGCTTTTTTTTGTRCGTACTGTTTTAATTCTCAATTTAATTCACTCCTTTCCACATTCTTTGTTCAAGTTAATTCATATAATAATAATATTCAAGGGAATAAAATGCATTATAGAACAATACGCCCTAACTCAGTGTGTCTCTTGGGGTATTCTTCGTTTGCAATAGCCGCCATGTTGGAAGAATTTGACAAAAGATTTTAAAATTAATTCTTTTGTTATATCTTCCAACATGGCGGACATCCCTTTTGTTATTGTGCTCTCTTGGAATTGATTGCAAACCAAGAATTATGATTTCAACATCAGCAAAAATGCAGAAGCAGTGGCAACTACATATTCACTGGTATCTTGACATGAAGTTTTGAGAGATAGCATTCGCTGAAGAAAGGAGAGACGAGAACCAACAGAAACCATTCTTTTAGAGCTGTTTTTCTTCTTCTTGGTGACCCAAAGGTAAGCGATTCGAGGTCTTATATTTCGGTTTTAATCTTTAATTTCTTGTTATACTCGGCGCGCATAGTAGAAAAGTCGATAACTATTTCACGTTCTGGGGATAATCACTGTATGTCTTGAGATATTATGAAACTTATATTAGTTAAAGAAGTTAAAAGATAGCTTTCCTAATGGAAYACTTGCAGTAAAACGATGAAATCAGATCCAAATTGTTACTGACAAAGAATACTATTTAAGCTGCGTTCATAATGTATGGCAGAGGGAGGAGATACTTTTTGAACGCAGCCTTAGTGACTAATAGTCGATATAACTCAAGAACATTCATTACACGAAGAAACTATACACAATAAACCATTTGTGCCTTTGTGAAATGAATGTTTTGGTTGAGTCATGATAGCGACTACGTCCTCTATTCCGCCAATAAAATTATTTTATTGGTAATTTTTCTGTAAAAAAAAAGAGTGCAAATACCCTACAAACATGCATTCTCAAAAAAGTAAAATATGAAGAGAGACATGGCGGCCATATTGGTGGCATTAACAAAGAAGGCTATTGAGAAATTTCTTGTTAAATATCCCCAACATGGCGGCGCATGACGTAACGTGAAGGCGAAGAATAAGAAGGTTTTCTTACGTACAAAACTTCCATATTTTTCGAAAGTGGGTTTGTTCATGCCCAGCTGTTGGTAGAGCTTCGTGTCGCCGTACAAAAATCCAGCCAGACTCGTAGATACTGGAAACCCTTTCAAATTACGTAAATCAATGATGCCGTCCGTAAAGATAGAATAATTGTTTTGCTGAAATTACAAAGGAAATGACATAGTATTCAGTAAAAAAATTTTACGGGGTTAACTTCTGTCAATCACCTGATTTGTTATTGTCTAATCTCCATACCAGACATAGCTCAGTTGGTTAATGCGCCGGCCTTCGGAGCTAGAGGTCCACGGTTCGATCCTAGGGATCTCCACATCTGTGTCGGACTACTCTCTTTTCTGTGTATAGTTTTAGTTTTAAATACCCGTAATCATTGCGATAAGGAGCACTGATAGTCTGAAGGGCCTTAAAAGGCGCACCTTCAAGCGCTTTATACATGCTTTATGCTTTTATCAAGCCCTGGCTCGGGAGATTTGGGCAGCCTGATCTCCCCGTGGTTTAGGAGTACAATAAATTACCTTCTTTACCACCAAAAAACGGCTACGCCTCGTGAGTACATAACATTTTGATCAAATGTTGACGTCATATCGTGGTAAATCATAGGGAATACCAAGCTAAATTAAAGCACCGAAAATTTGTTAAACCTTTAGCAGGTGTGTGTATGTCTCTATACGTACACCACTCACCTTCAAATTTTCTTGATCTAACAGAAAACGGTGCATATCAACCCCATGCTGGATCACCAGCTTGTCGTAAGTGATCCTGAAGCGGTGATACATTGTTGCAAAGAATACATCGTAGTGGTTTTTTGTTGGTGGGTACCTATCAGAACACGGAGAGAGTTGTGGAACCGTGGAAAACTGCGCGTCGTAACTGCCGGCTATCTTGGACTGCGATGGTGGAACATTGGGATAAATATTGGAAGGTACTTGAGTTTTGTCGTCGTATGCTAAAAAAATATAAATGTCGACTTATTATTGCTACCACTGCTGCTTCTATTACCACTGCTGCTGCTACTCCTATTGCTTTTGTTGCGAGTAATGCATGTTACTGCTACTGCTACTGCTACTGCTACTGCTACTGCTACTGCTACTGCTACTGCTACTGCTACTGCTACTGCTACTGCTACTGCTACTGCTACTGCTGCTGCTGCTGCTGCTGCTGCTGCTGCTGCTGCTGCTGCTTACTGGTACTTACTGGTACTTTTAGCCATAAATTGAAATACCTGCATAAGTATGAGCGAGGTCCACGTTTTCTGTGCTACAAGTATACATTGATTTTTTCTTTGCATTTGCGCTCGCATCGTCGATGTTGACATGATTCGTCAAACTCCCAGCAACAGGTATACCATTTGGAAACATTGGGGGGAGTTTAAGCTTGTCCATGACATAACCAAGGGCCAACTCTTTCTGTGTTCTGGTTACAAGAATGCCATAGTTATAGCTATCTAAGGACGCCATAGCGCAGGATGGTACGTGTGTAGTGATAAACCACAGTAAGGCTTGAGCTGTTTCGATATCTTTGACCTTGAAGCACGAGAAAGAGTTTGGACATAATAGTTCGTCTATTCGCAACCTCACTTGCTCTGCCTCAAGTTCCATCATTGTTTTGGTTATATTTGCCTGATTTTGTGCACTTGTTTTCACTTTCACGTAGTATCCCAGATACGACAACAAACCGTTCCCTTGAGCTGTGTAATTCGCTGCAGAAGCATTAAATGTCRAAGGAGGTAAAACCAGGGTAGCGTTCACAAGTACATTGTAAAGTCCCGCCATTTCTGAAGAATTATAACTCTTTCCTCCCCGTCTGTCATCTACTAGTAGAGTCTTAAGAGAAATTGAACGTAACCACTGGCCAAACACTGGGAAAGCTAACTGGGGGTTGCTTGTATTTGGTACGTTTCCAAGGTATGACAAGCTTGCTTGTCGGCTACCAAGTGTTAGTTCTAGTTGGGTCATGTATCCCTGAACGACGTGCGGAATCATGAACGTACTGAACTTTGAATCCCCTTCGAATTGGTGCATTAGGCCCAGGTAGGCAAGGTTTAGCACTGTAACCTAGAAAACCATCGAAAGGAGTTATTAATGCGTGATGTAACTGATGGATGACAAAGAAGTTACAAGCATGAGGTGATTGCTTAACTAATCACAGTCAAATGATTACAGTCATGGTCATGTTCAACACGTTCACGTTCACAGTCACGGTCATTTTCAACAATGTCACGGTACTAACCCATTGTCACGTTCACATTCGTGGTTACGTTCACAGCCACAGTCATGGTCACATGCACGGTCACGTTCACGATCACTTTCACGTTCAAAGTCACAGTCACGCTCACATTCACGTTTACCGACACGTTCACAGTCACGGTCACGGCCACGTTTACAGGTCACATCACATTCACGGTTACGGTCGCATGTGTATCAGGCCCCGTCCACACGTATCCGGAAATTTTTTTTTGCGGATACGAAAATGTTCGCGTCCACACGCAGCGTATTCGAATCGTTTTCACCGTCCACACGTATCCGTTTTCGTAAAATTTACGGATACGGACACAAAAATTTGCGGACACGTGTGGACGCAAAAAAAAAAATTGCGGGTACAAAAATTTCCGGATACGTGTGGACGGGGCCTCAGACAAGCTCACAGACACATCATATTCCGACAGTCACAGGTACATCAGTCACGCTGAAGGTCACGTCACATCCACAGTCACCACTACATCAGTCACGCTCACGGTCATATCGCATTCATTCCGCTGTAGTGTAAAATTAGTCCAAGTTCTTATTGTTCTTCTCCATTCTGTCTCCCTTATTTAAAAAATGTGACGTCATAGTGAAATAGTGCAATTCTTACGTTGTCGTTCTCTTTGCATTCTGGACATTTTTCTTTCGTTGCTTCTGCATCGAACGCTTGCTTTGTGAACGTTTTGTAAGAAACTTGACCTTGTTTTTCGAAATCTATTTTGATTTTTTCACTGGTTGTCCTGTAGACGTACGGGCCTCGTTCTTCGAGCTAAAACAATAAACAAAATATTATTCATTCAACGTTTTAAAACTTTTATATACTAAAGGACGTTTTTACAAAACTGTTTCTAAACTGGGCACGTAAGCCCGCAAACAAAACCACAGCGGAAGTCTTCAAATCCTAGTTCGTGAGTAACCACATTTATGTGTAATTTTTTTGACGGGAAATGATCACGTGATGTATTGTTTACCTGAGGAGTTTCTCTGCTGTATAAGAATCCTTGTTTGTTCTTAATGTGCCAGAAGTACACAGAAGTCTGAAGCGTAGTTGGTTTGGCCTACAATAAATTCGAAAAGAAAAGCCTTAATTAAGGCAACCACTACGGTATTCGCGGAATTGCTAATGTCCTCTGCTCTGCTCTGCTCTGCTCTGCTCTGCTCTGCTCTGCTCTGCTCTGCTCTGCTCTGCTCTGCTCTGCTCTGCTCTGCTCTGCTCTACTGATTACTTGAGCTATATCTATGATCTAAGAAAATCTAAGAATTAAGCATAGCTGAAACTAAAGCTCATAAATGAATATATCGTAAATGTATAGAAAAGATTACAAGGAATATTTCTATCATAAGACTCTAAAGAATGAATCCTAAAATAACTGAGCAAAGGCGTAAAAACTGTGTAAGGCGTAACCAGAACTGTGTAGGGCGTAACCAGAACTTTGTAGGGCGTAACCAGAGGTATACATGCTAATTGGAGGAGCTAAGAGGTTTACTTGTGAATGCAATGCATACCATTATCTAAACTTCTGCGTGGTGGTAGCCGTGCTGAAATATTATATCGATATTTTTATATAGCTAAGGGACTGAAGATTGATATTTTTTATCTTGTTTTTTATGAGATAAGTAGCGGTAATTTGGAGACTGATATCTTGCTTAGATCGTCTTTAAAAATATTCATTTTCTCTCTCATAACACTTCTATGCCAATGGACTTCCGCCTGCTTTTAGTGATTTTTTAAAAGACATTAACAGAGTTCAATCATATAATAATAGACTATATAGCGTGCAAAAAATCATACTATCTTCCGAAAATAAGAACAATTTTTGGTAAATTTAAGATTAAAAAAATTTGAATTCAGTGAACTTAACCTGGAGAATCATGATGGTTTCAAGAGGCTATAAACACTGTTATCAAACTAATAGTTAATACTGATGCTCTTTCATTTATGCTTTTCTTCTTTTCTTTCCGCATACAGTCAATGTCATTAACGTTATCCACCGAAAAAAGACATCTACACATTTACACATTTACACATTTAGACTAAAAGAAATATCATGTGTTTCCTCGAACGCTGAAATACCATTCTGCATCTTAAATCCTCACTAAATATGGTCGGGGCATTGGATTTTCAATTCACGAGTTGAATTTTACATTTAAGGAGGCTCGAAACGGTATTTCTTGATTTCTTCTATAAATTTTTAATATTCAAACTGAGAAAAATCAAAAACGCAGTAATGAAATTTCTTCAAATTTTGCATATGGCTTTAGTTTATGTTTTCGAAAATTCTGTAAGAGGGAACTATTCCAAACAAATTTTATTGATTTTTACGAATTTCCTCTTACAGGTTTTTTCCTTTTTTTTTTTTTTGCCAAAAAGAAGATTACGATACAAAGTTTAAATATTCCGCTTTTTAAAAAATTTCACCATTTGGTTCCTGAGTTATGATTTTTTAAATGAACATTTTTGATGGCACACCAAGGGTTCGGACGATGTCATAGCACCGTCTTACGTCATGTTTTCATGTTCATTGTGATCTTTGGTTTATAGTCTTTTGCATTCCTGGTTTATTTGCTGTCATATTATAACCACATTTACTTTTTTTAGTTCATAATTAATAATGTGAAGGCACAAAACACTTTCCAACCTCCTTAAAGTTCAGGTTGACGCACACGAGGCAAAGAATATATAATGAAACACGTGATATTTCTTTTACTCTAAACGTCTAAAAGTGTAAATGTCAAAATGTGTAAATGTCTTTTTTCGGTGGACAACGTTAATGACATTGACTGTATGTTCAAAAGATTATTAGGTATTTCGTGTGTGTGTGTGTGTGTTTTTTTTTTTCTTCTTCTGCTGTTGTAATCTTAGTTTATTAGTCCCGTTTGACGACCTAGCTACTTAGCTCGATTAGCTCTGCTATTTCATAATTTTGTAAATTTTCTAACAATCAGAGTGCTAATAAAGATGTTTCTTCAAGCATGTTTTTCTCTGAAAAAATTTTCCGAACTCCAGGCGGGATTCTAACCCGTGACCCTCTGTTCAATTTTTAGTCAAACCGCGCTCTAATCACAGATGTTGTTGCTGTTGTCATAGGCAAAAGTTGCATGAAATTTTACTTAGTTTATTTGACAACCCTAATGCAAATATTAAACTAACCAAAACTAGTTCTAGAACTAGCGAGTTTTTTCGTGAAAAGGTGTCAAAATGTTTATTTTCAGAGACCCATCCTTACGGCCGTTTTAATCAGTTTGCTCTTGTGGGTTGATCTCTTATCTACTTGATGTTGATGAGAAATTTTTTGTAATGAGAGTGTGAAATAATCTTAGTATTTCAGTAAATAAATACTTCAATATTCATAATTCTTTCTGCACTGAAGAAAGTACAGGATAGTGCGTGCTACTGCAAAATTTAAATTAAACTGCGTATCCCTTGCAGCTGCCGGCACCGGATAAACTAAAAACAACAGGAAAAAAAGATAAACGGCAAAATTTTCAGTTTTTTTTCCGGCTAAGTGGCACGAGCTTTCCGAAAAGGTTTCTGAGTCAGAAAAGCTGTTTAAATAATTGATTTTCTTGGCCAAGAATCGTCGATAAATTGGGTCATGTTCCTTAGCACACACAAGTCCAAATAGAAGCCAAAAGCGAAGCGTTGAGAAAGTCATGTCGCTGGTATCAAGGAAGATGGCGAATAAATGGTGGACTCCATTATAAGGTGCCGGTTTTCAAACTCAAAATTTTGTCGTATAAAAATAAGAATAAAAAATTACAAAATTAATAGGGATTGATTATTTTTAAGCAGGTGTAATTGATTGACTGTTCTGAAGTTATAGACTGCCTTTTTTGATATTACCTCTTGTTGGTATATAGTAAAAGAGTTATTTCCATCAATTAAGCGGGGATTCGGAATCGAAATGAAAAAATATATCTAATATCTATTTGTTATTTTGTTATTTTTATATGACGTTCTTGCAATTAGTTGGKTTTTTTTTTCTCACCAAGTTTGTTACTTTTAACATCGATTTTTTCTATTTTCTAAACTATTTGAATCGTTTTACATCAAGAAAAAATAATTAGTCCAAAAGGCTAATATATCAACAGTCGTCCGTCGTCCTACTTTAAACTAAACTAGCTTCAAGCGGATTGCAAGGCCATGCAGCTGTATTAATATTCTTTTTACCATTGTGCAATTAAGAATTGCTCATATAGTTGAGAAAAAGAAGGGATTTTTCTCTTAGATGATAGAATTAAAGATTTAAAGCAACCCAGATTTTTTTCGACATGGAAAACAGAGTTACGTTGACGTAGTAATAGTATTTATTTCCGTTGAAGATGATGAGTCAAGAGGTTGAAAATGACTCCAATCTTCAATTCAGTTCTTAATCCTCTTTAGAAAGGTGAGCGAGTTAATTTAGCAAATCTCTGAGCCCTTTTCTCAAACAGTTAGAGTTTATCTAAAAAATATACAAAAGACAATAATGAAGATGTTAATAAACTTACCCAATTTTCATAATTCTCGTCGTCTTTACTCGCGACACAAATTCGTTCATCCACTTTCGTTTTAATCGATTTGACTATTAATCTTGCAGTTATGATTCCCACCGCAATGAGAACAATCCCAGATATTATAAGCATTATACTTGTTCTCTTTTTATTTCGACAGCCCATCTTGAAGAGATGTTTGTGGTGTAAAGTCTCTGGTGGTAAGCGAGGTGTAGTGAGCTGTCACAAACCCTACCTTCACCATTCTTAACGACCCTGTTCCCATGGCAGTAAATTGTCGATAAACAGCGCGAAAACCGGAAAACTAAAAAAAGGGACGGAGAATAGGACGTTTAATTGTATGTAGTATGGAATTAAGAGCCGGCTACATTCTCCCAAGATTAACAATAGTTTAGTAATCAACACAAATAGATCGAATAACTTCTGTACATAAATATATGAGAAAGCAAGGATACGCTAAGGTAATTTGAGCAAAGAATTTATATTTCTGTGTTCAAGTTTGCCCCCAAAAAAAGTAATGTGAAGATGCATTTTTCAGTTCGACGAACAAAGAGTTATCTTATCTTGATTTACCTTGTCTACATCTTTAACTTATGACACCAATAAACTTATTCGATAAATATAAAGATATATAAGGATAAAAGCAAGGATACGCCGAATTTAAAGTAAATTTTAGCAATTCATATTCCTGCGAGAGTAACTTTATTTTTAATTCATACGTACGATATACGCCAATAATATACGATAATAGTTCCGAATTTATGAAGTTGCATCGGTGTAAATTAAAAACAAAAACAAAAGAAGACTTGTGATTCAGCTAGCGCTATACGTTTCTTCTTTTGTTTGCACAAAAGTGGTTACTTCGAACTAAAAACAACCTTTTAGATAATTTTAAAGTGTTTTTTCCTTAGCTTCTTTGAGACACAGTTTGATTTGGTCGATCCATTTGCAACCATTAGTTGAAGTAGTTTGTTTATCCTGAGAATTAGTAGACTATTACATTGTGCTATTCATACGAAAATTGATTTTCAAAGGTTTAAAGTAACTTAAAATGATTCACTTGTTAGTGAACACACAACACACGAAAGTGCGGGATATAAATTGAAGTTTTTTATAAATTTGAATTTAAATTCGAAACGAAAACGATTTTTTTTTCTTTTAAAGTTTATGTTATCACATATACACAATTAGTCAGTTTATTGCTAAATCTATATTGATACTAAAATAAAGTTTATTTAGGTAATAGTAAAATATCTAGGAAAAGGCGTTAGAAAAAAATCGAGATTCGAAAAATAAGRAAAAAATAAATATTGTGAAATAAGATGCAAGGGTGTTTTTTTGGGAATGCCTCACAAAATTCAAAAAATATTCCAAAGACTGCACAAAGTGTGAAAGGGAAAAAATTACGTTCATGTCAAAACGCGAAAGCTTCAAAGATATGATCATTTTTCGTCTCTCTCTTTCCCTTTTTTTATATAGTCACATTTCCTTGTTATTGTCACTCACATAGAATTCAATCACCAAAAGACAATGAAAATATACCTCATTTTATTCCACATTTAGTGAAAAAATATATAAGACACTATTTAGAAAAGACTTAAAAATGACTTAAAATAGAAATGCTCTTGCAAAACAAATTTCCTCGCTGTCCACACCTTAAGAAGAATTCATATTTACTTTCGCACGGATTTTACCGCAGTGTCAATCGTGGAAAAACCAATGAATTTTTTAGTCTTTTTAGAATTAGAATTCGTCTCAAGAAGTCTCTAGTCTGAAACGATAAACATAGCAGTAGAATAAGGTTAGTAAGCATTACGTCTGACAATCAACCTACAATCAAACACCTGCTAAATTTGATCCATTTGTTTGGAATGGTTACCTAGCAACTAATTCAAACAAACGATTCCAGAAAAAGGGAGCTATGCAGGTAGACAACACAGGGATCCCGCCACACTCGGTTGGGGTTGTCTTGGGTTGTTCAGTATCAGTTGTTTGATTTGCTGAATGTTTGTTTCGAAAGGAGGGGAAAACTAAGTATGGTAGCTTGACTATTAAATGGGTTGCACTTTGAATCAATCAGCTAAGGAGAAAACGTAACTTCCGTGAATCACAAGACGTGGAATCCATTTGTCACTGATAGCGCACGTTTAATTCTCGCTCAACAAAAAATATTTTATAATCTTTAGAGAGTTTTCGTATGAATCTGGCGAAATAGACCCTCTTCGTCGTGATGCGATGTTTTTTCATTAAAGACTAAGTGTTATTCATTAAAGAACACGATTTTTGTTCGAGTTGTTTCTATATTTTTGTGTCTTCTCATGAGTAACCGTTAAACAAAGAAATGATACTCTAGGAATGACACGTGGTCTGTGATGGAAAAACATTGCACCAAGACAAATAAGGTCTATTTATAGTGTCATTCGTGGCCTCATTTCCTTGTTTCCAGTCCTCCTTAGTTCATAGGATTACGGATAACACGTGACAAGAACTCATTCTCTTAYCTTACTCGTTTGTTTTTATTAAACTCAAAATAATGAAACAAAGTTGAGCTAGCGTTTCCAGGAAGAGCTGGTTTGGTGCTGGTCTTTCGTTTACTGATTCCCAACGATTTGCATCGACTCAGTCCAGTTGTCCTTCGTGCTGCTGGAAAAAAAATGTTTTTGAAAAATAAATTTTCCTATCATTGAGAAGCGGGGGGTGTCCGCCTTTCCGGGTTTGACCACTGAAGAACATGGCCACCATTGCAATAATTTTTTTTTTCATTTTGTGGCTTGAAAATCCAGTTTCAAAAGAAAAAGTGTTGCAAATTTTCTCGATTCTGATTGGCTAGCATTTTTTTCTCAGATCAGACTCTCAAATGACTTCCTTACTTCAAATGAATGACGCGCGCGTTCTCGCTTTTTGATTGGTTTAGACAGAAAGCCATGTGAGTGTCACAGTGTAGTTTGAAGTTAAGTCATTAAAATGTCTGCGCTAAACTAAATTAAGCATAATCTACAACCACTTTCTAATTGCTTTGCTTGACTCGTAGGTAATAGGTCTCCAATCTGTCATACGAATTGCGTTAGGAACGTGTTTGTTAACGGAAATGAAGAAATATCCTCTCAATTATTAAATTAATTGTCCTCGGGGTTTGTTTGCCTCGCGGAGCTATTTCTCGAAGATATTAGTTTTTAGAGCTTCTCTATCAATTCGAGTATAAATAAAGTCTATGTATGTTGTTTCAAAAACAAAATAAAAGGATCTAGATTTCAGCCCTTCTGATCGCACCACCAATCCTCACGTATTGGGCTACCTGTGTCTTTACAACACTCAGACAAACAAAGAAAAATGGTCCAAGAAGGAGGGAACTAAGGTTTTTGAGCCTCAGTATCTTTTTTAAAGCGTTAGATTGTAAACTCGGGCGTATGTATTGGGCTTCCTGTGTCTGTTCAATTTTCTTGAGCAAAGAATTGGGAATGCAAAATTGTCAAATGCAACGTATGATTGAAAAAGAGAAAAAAATGGAATTGGACAATTGCATTAGGTTAACTTACCTGCTGTTTTGTTTTTAAGTTGAATTAATCTTTTGGAAGTCTAAAAGAAAAGAATTGAGCACAAATATTGAGACAGAAATAATATCAGGCTATCAGTAGCCCCTTGTCTACGAGAAAATCGTACAGCGTCGTCCTTAAAACGAGGCCGGGTAAAAGTACAGGTTACGCTAGTCGGAAAWTTTCAAAAATACCCCTAAAGGATACGGGCTGGACGATTTTCAACCCCTAAGGAGGTGCTGACATTAAAAATATAAATTTCAAATTTTTCATCCTAAGAGATGCAAAATCCTGATTTTGACCTCTAATAGAGATACGACAAGCATACCCGATACTTTTACTCTGGAATCTCTTYCCTCCCCCTCCCCCCCGGCTAAGGCTTCTCATATTTATGGAATTAAACATGGCTAAGCTCGAGACAGCACAGAGTCACTCAGTCACTTTTAGCTACTTTTGGGACTGTACGTTCCGCTTTGGGTTCGGCTCATGTGGGGTGTGGCGTTTTACCTGGGCCTTAAACAGACATATTTTATATTTTCTTAATTAACGTAAGGAGTTGAATTTCAATTGGGGCTATCGCCCTGTTTTCTTCTCCGGCCGCCCTTAGCTTTGTATGTTGTGCATTTAATTGTATTATGTTTGTGGCAAATTCCAATAAACTAAACCAAACTAAACTACTACCTACCATGTCGCTACCACTAGAAGATCGTAGCGGCGTTATTGATTCTTTTTCCATGGACAGACCATTCACCTCATCCTTTCTGTTCTCACTAGGTGTATCAGCGTCTGTACTCTCCTCCTCATCAGACAGATACCCACTATCGATGACTTCCTGCGTCAAAGGTAACGATTCCACAGACTCGTTTGTCCTACTAATAGGCTCTTCACTAGTTCTTTTTTTGGGTTGGTAAGTGAATTTATGTAGACTGCTTAAAGTTGCGGTTCTTTTGCGGGTGCTCGCGAGTTTAGGATTTTTCTCGTTGCTGTTAATATTCGATATCCTTTTCATCTTACTCGTAACGGTAGTGTCTATAGATGAATCACTCTTCCAGCTTCTCTGTGAGTCGTTAATTGGTTGGGAAGAGTCTTCCATGGGCTCCGTTCCCTCTTCTCTTTCTTGACTCACACAATCGTATGAAGATGTGTTGCAGGTTAATGTTGACGCAATGCTATTTTCTGGTGTAGGACTATTTTCTTTTTCCTCCTCAGGCAAGATATTCATATCAGATTCTTCGTATTTCCAGGTAGGTAAGGAAGGCGCGTCGTCTAGCTCCTTGGCCGAGACTGCGGGGTCCCCCAAATCATCATAAGTTTTCTCGTCACGTACTGATAAATCAGTATCAGTCGTACTGTGCTCATCGGTATTCAGATCTTTTTGTCCAGTTACATTATTAACGTCTTCGTTGTCGAAATAGCTGAGCAAGGAAATAGAGTTTAAATAAAYGTTTAATATAGCCATGAGAAAACCGTTAAACAAAGAAATAATACTCTAGGGAATGACACGTGGTCTGAAATGGGAAAACATTAATATATAGAGGTATATTAAGAATAAATTACTATACCAGCTTGTCTGTCCTGTGGCATTAGATTCCTTATCACTAGATTCTTCTATGCTTGTCCTAAAGGGATTCTTAAGCCTCGGCTTCCTAGGAACGAGGTATTCGTCACTGGTTGTTGTCTTGAAGTGATTCTTTAGTCGCGGCTTTCTGGACATACCACACCCATTATGAACAGTCTGGCTTCTCGTCAACGATGAACTTGAATCCTTTCGTTTTACAAATGTGTACATGTTCATGAGGTCTTTATCATCTGGAACTCTTTCTTCTGAGAAAAAAAGTGGATAAGAAAAGATATATATATAAAAAGAAGAAAAGTGCGCGCACAGTTCCGTGAAGTTGCACTTGTCAAAACCAGCTGTTTTTACGTCGCGGGGAACTATGAAGAAAGCATGACAAAAACCGCTAGTGCGCATTAATACGCTGGTAATGAAATGAAAGAAAACATTTCAAAGTTGTGAATATTTCCAACAATGTTTCAGCCACTTGGATTATTAACTACAGTCAACTCTCGTCTTGCGGACACACCCCGGCGAAAAGTACTGACAAAGAAATGACGGCTATTAATATAATTCTCACTATTGGGGATGCTGGCTATTATGGGCACCAAGTGATGGTCCCGAGGGTGTCTGCTGTAATAACAAGAGTTGACTGTAAAACCAAAAACCCTAAATCAAAATAATTTCACTGAAAACTCATTATCACGTCCGAGATCAGTCGGGCGAGATCCGCGACACTAGGTAACAAGCGAGGAAGCTAGAGGGACATAAAAACCATCGCCACCAGGCCTAGGATGGAGGAGGGGGGGAGAGGGGGGAGGGGGGTGTGGGACAAAATTCGGCTTCCAAATCTCCGAACGAAGTTATGCAATAAGTCCAACAAGACGTGTGTGAAGTTAATTTATACTGCTGCGTGCTAATTAATTATGCAGTGAGAATAGTACACTACGTACTTTCTTTGGAGGTTTTTTTCAGAGGTGGAAGTAGGAATCTCCTGCAGTGTCCAAGGGATGACTCTTTCTCCAGTGTCATGTTATTCTCTGCCACATGTAGAGACTCAAGAGAGCTGGGGGTGAGTGATTGACGATCCTTTTTGCTTGCAAATGAAAACGCACAAGCGGAGGGAGTGTCGGACGGGAGTGAAGGTGGAGGCTGTTCAGTCTGGGAGAAGAGAAATACAGAGAAATAAAAGAGAAACTTACTTGTAGCAAAAATAGATTTTGTATGACTTTCAAAGTTAAAGGCATAAATTAAGATTTTTGCACATTTTTTAAAATTTATACTCAGAATTTTGGAGTTTTGCAGAAGTAAGGTACCCATCTGACATTGCATGGTGGTTTTGATGAGAGGGGTGGGGGGACAAGCAATACTAGGCTAGACATATGTAGATGATGGCTAGTAAACACTAGCGTGGACTGCGTTGTTGTTTCTAATAAAACAGTTATCGTAGAATGATAAGTTATACACCGTAGTGAAAATAGTAACTGACGTTTCGGACGTTAGTCCTTAGTTGGAGTCAATGGTTTGACTCCGACGAAGGACTAACGTCCGAAACGTCAGTTACTATTTTCACTACGGTGTATAACTTATCATTCTACGATAACTAGGCTAGACATAATGGTTGTGAGCAATGTAGTACCCAGGAGAGAGAAGAATTTAACATCTATGTGTGTTGATAAAATATTGTTTACCTTKTTGGTATCAGGGTCATAATCATCCATTATTTTGCGAGTTATTGGATTGATATTTCCTAGTGCTATACCAAGGGCTTCTTCTGGAGATAACATACTGAAGTACTGTTAAAGATAAACAAAGACATGGCCTAGAAAGTGGAAAGAGGTACGTGCAATGAATGAAATACAATCAATGCAAAAGTACACGAGAGAATTAGAATATGAGAAATAAGAGTAACCATCCTCACTACCATCACTGCTATCAATACATAATATATAATATATGGCTTATATAGCACTTATATAGCACTTATATAGCACTTATACAAGTCTGTTTTAAGACTGTTCATGACACCACATAAGTGAAGACATACTGTAAAACTGCTACGACCTCTAACATCATTGATACATACCATACAAAAATCATCATTTTGAACTATCAAGTGAATACCAACACTACATCCCACCACAACATCCACTACTACTCTCAGTAACATAACTGCTATCCATCACAACCTTAAACACTGTTGATAAATACCCCATGAAATTTTTTTGGAACAAGCGCCAACTACAAACATCAACATTACCAACCTACCCCCTAACAGTTATACCACACCACAAATAAAACCACCACAAGTAAAGGATACGGTCCAGCAAAGGCCAAATCTCCAGGAAGAACTCCGTCTGGTAATGGAGTAAGAGGAATAAGTGAGCTGCTTCTGGGATCAAAGACTAGCTGGTACAGAAAAGTCTCATATGCTTGCTGGAAGCTCTTCTCATAATCTACTGGTACCTTGAGCTTGTTCTCAAGTCTTATGCTTCTGACAAGCTGTTTATGAAAATACAAATAAATAAATGTAGTTGAATGACCTGACATGATGATTGGTAACACTTGACTGATCAACATGTACCTGTCAAGAGGACTGGCTGAAGAGGTGTGTGGCTGGACAAGCAACATATATGACTAGCTATTATTTTGAGCCATGGAAGTTATACTCATAATAATATTATATGACCCACAAATACACAAACATTATGCCCTCTGATTGGTTGGTAAGCTATCCATAATTTCTTAGTACAGTAAAAACCCGCATATAAGAACCTAAAATTTAAGAACCTGTTAGGCTAAAATTTCATTTTTAAGCACCCTTCACATAAGGAACATTTTAGGCTAAAATCCTAAAACAGGTTCTTATTTTTAAAAAAGAAGAAAGAAATAGAATCAATCTTTTCAAAAATATATTTATAACACAGTTTGTACAAAATAATGCTATAAACACTATAACTGCACATGGTTACTGTAAAAAAACTTATTTTATTTCTTGAACAAAAGTTAAGAACCTGATTAAGAACCTAGTTAGCCTAATTTAACACTAAATACCATTATATAAGAACCTGTTTAGGCTAACTTGAAAAATCCTAGGTTCTTATTTGCGGGTTTTTACTGTATTGTATCAAAACACTTCTACCAGCCATGAAAATAATTGATGGTAGGGTAAGCCTTTAAGTAATTTATTAATAATCATTAATGTAATGAATGGTAAGCCACCAACATATCATAAGGCCTGAAGTATACAAGTGACTACCTTCTCAATAGTAGAATGTTTCCTCATGAGCTTGTTAGCTGTTTTAAGGCCAACACCCTTGATAGATGGCAAGTAGTCACACCCAGAAAGAATACACATCTGCTTGAATTTTTCCAAGGTGAACTCATGCATCCGGAGGTCTGTAAGTTTGGGTAGGTCGGCAAGATCAACTAGTGTACCCCTACCACATTCATCCATTTTGAAGATAACCTGGTATATGGGATTGATTAGATAAAACTTTGAACAATGCTGATAATTGTGCTGTTCACATATTGTAACTGTGCTGTTGATAGTGATGATACCATAATCTTAATGTAGATAAAATTGGGATTTAGAGGGTTGGTTTTGTGAAAGGAGAACACCAGAGAACCCAGATAAAATCCTCAAACCAAGGGAAAGACCTAACAAATTCTCTCAATTGTGATGCTGAGTCCAGGAATCGAACCCAAGACCCCAGAGTTGAGAGAAAGTGTTCTACCATTACCCTACGCTTGAAGAGCCTTACTGATGCAGCAACAATGTTGAATAAAACAATAGATTCTTTCACATGTATCCTTGCATTCAAGTGCTTCAGAAAAAATCATGAGGGTTGAACAAAGGTTTTTATTCTCATTAGCAATTATTACACATGGTACTGTATCTTACTTTGTTGCAGCCATAGACCAAGAGATCGGAATCCTCAGATATTGTTGCTTGTGTTATTCCTGTCTTCATGAGGTATGCCAGTTGCGCATCAGCTTCATATGGAGCAACTACATAATCTATGTTCCTTTCTCTACAGGCCTGGAGAAAAATACAAAACATTGCTGAGAAAAGAAAAACTAAACTGTATTTGAAACATTACTAATCCCACAATATATTTCCAAGGCCTGCAACCCCTTCCTTGAAGCAAATGTTTGGCCATTATTTTTCCTTTTTAATTAGCTGAATTTAATTAATTCAAATAAAATGATCTCCAATAAGTTGGGGATAAGATAGAGCTCCCCAACCCCCAAAGAGCCCCTCTCTCCCCAACCCCCCAAGAGCCGCTATGCATGCTAGGGATAAGAGGGCAATAAAGTTTAATCTTACTCRATTTGTCTTAACAATTACCTTTACAACCTCAAGTGCCATTTCAGGTGTTATATCAACACACTTCTGAAAGCACTCGCATGCTTGAGATTTATTTCCAGCTCTGAGAAGGGCAAGTCCTTTAGCTTTGTTTTCTTGTCTTGACCTGGAAAAAAAAAAAGATATATAATAAGACCAAGGTAGCATAGGAATGYGTTATTCCCTCAAGTATTATTTCTTTCTTTACTGGTTATGCTTGAGAAAATACAACAGGGATTTAGTTGAAACAACAAAAAAATTTCAAATGAATGATTTAATCTGAAATGAGAAACGAATGCATGGGATAAGGAGGGAAAGACACATGGTCTCAAATGGGAAATGGATGTAATGATATAGGAATGGATTATCTGAAATGGGAAATGAATAGTGTAGGATGACAAGCGAATGACACATCAAGATTGGCACAAATGGGATAAAAAACAATCAGATAAAATGTGTCATTTTTAAACAAATCCGTCTAATTTTCAAAAATATTCCACATAATGCCTACAATAAAGCTATTTCGATTCATTTATTCCTCAGAAATAATGAAATGAAATTTTCAGAGTGTATTGATTAAGGGTAGAGTGTGGTATGACGTCATAATAAAATGTTACATTTTTGATTAAAAAATTTTAAGCACTGGGTTAAAACAAAATACATAATTTTAAAGGCAATAACATTCCCCATTTAATTAATAATATAAATAATATATAAATAATAAATTCAATTATTAGAACCAGAGTTACTGAGGGATCAGTTTTTTGATGACGCCATAGGTGATGATGTCACTCAAAAAAGTAAAAAGTGATTTTACAGCACCAGAAGAAGCAAAGTGAACTTCTAAATATTTATTACTGTTATATAAGTGTGCCACTTCAGTAAAATGCTAATTCATTTATTAGAGATATTTTAAAATATCTGTGATGTCATTGTCAGTTTTAGCGTTATTATAAAAAATATTTTAAGTATTTATACTTAAAAAATCAAAATTCTAAAAACATAGGATTTTGGGCAATTCCTAATACTTGCAATATTGAAAGTATGATGGCAAAATGTTAGCAAACGAAAAAGTAGTTTGAAGAAGTTTATTTTTGMCAATGGTTTTGCATGTATTATTTTCCGCCAACTTTTCGCGGGAAAATTGGAAACTAAAAAAATTCACAACTCTACTTTCCCTTATCGAATTTCAAAACGGATTTCGATAAATATTGTAATCAAGAGGGGAACAATATAAAATGACTTTTTAAGATTTTTAAAAATTCAACATGACCGCCTCCTTTAGGCGGTAATATTCACATCACTCGTTCAGACGGTGGTGTATTGGAAATAACAGCATGGGATTAAAACAGTAAAACAAACCTTCTTCTTTCTGCTTCTTTGCTAGCCTTCGAAGGCAAGTTTCCACCGTCTAACACCAGATAAGGTTTAACATTGTGGTACAGCAACATATCTAGCCTCTTCAGTACGTAGTTTAGGTATCTAATCAAGCAAGATAAATTATAAGTAAGCGTAGCCCTGTTTTGAAATGCTAATTAACTGAATCAGTGGTGCGTAAAGATAGTTCTTGTACTCACATTTTAGTCTTTTTACCCTCTACAATGTCCATAGCACATCCATATGCACCCTTATGTAGCCAGCAATAGGTATCTATCCCAACAGTTTGGCCAGAAAATTCCGATATGCTCACTTTTTTATGGATCGGCTTCAATAATGGTAATAAACCTTGTATCCCCATGATTTTTTGACGTATACGACAATAATCAAGAAGTGATCCAATGTTTTGCAAGGTACAGCTGTTCCAAGCTTCCTTGCGCTATATTCAGGACTTTAAGTTAACCAAATTCTTCCAGCGATGAGATGAAAAACATAAATCAGGTTGTTGAATGAGGTCTTCTTCGTGAGTCTTGTGTTAACCACGTTTATATTCTCATAACTTTCTCATCAAAAAATCCGTTATTTTCAGCAATTCTATGGCTTAAACTTGTCAAAAACACTTCCTTATAGAAATAAAAGTTAATAGAAAATTGAATTTAAAAAGGTGCAGGTATTAAGAAGGCGATAAAAGGTTGAAAGTTTGAAGAAAAGTTTGAATATTTTCTGACGTCGCTTCAATTTTTCGCGCGCCTTTCAGATCTTGATACCGGGGCGCTCGTACACAGGTAGCCCGCGCGAAGAGTCATAAAGATTGGGCCTAAAAAATAGCAAAAACAAAAAGAAATCATCTAAATTCTATAAAAATAAAACTATGATGCTTCGCTATGAGTCGGAGTGTAATTCGTACTATTTTTTTTYCTGTAACGATAAGTTTAAGAATCACGGCGTCAAAACGTGGAATTGGGCTTTCTGTGGTTTAACGGGAAGGGAAAACTGAGTCCCTAGTGTTGTTGGACACGTAAAAAATATCCAAGATGGCTGCCACTTCAGTTCCTCTTCATCACCCAAGTTCTAACGCCGATCTTTCCTACGAAACACAACCAGATGAATTTGCTTTTACCTCACCCGTTACACAAGACTCCAGTGCGTACACTGGATCGATCGAAACGCAGGACAGCGAGTTAGGAGAAGGGAAAAAAAGCGGTCAAAGTGAAGGTCCAAGTTCAATATACTCGCAGATCTTAAGTCGTAAAGGCTTCGAATGGCTTCTTGAAGTGGACGATGCAGAAGAGAATGATTTCAACAAACCTTTGTTGTGAGTAAATTAAAATAAAATTATAATGCATTTACAATAATTTTCAATATAAAAGGTGAAAAGAAAAAAAACCCCTGAGACAATCTTATTTGTTTTGCTAGACTTTTATTTCAAAATTGATACAAGTCTACTTGAGTCATACGTCTTCAATGGTTATACGTTTATCTAATATCATTATTTACGAAATAAAGTTTGTCATTCGATATTTAAAATTTCAACACCAAAGGACAAAAAAGGATAGACAAAAACACCCTTTTTTCAACATATAAAATTCCAACTTGATTAATATTCATAAATCATTTTTTATTTTCTTTTAATTGATTTTTTAGGGAGGAGTTAGACATTGATGTACAAGATATCTACTACAAAGTGCGCTGTGTTTTGTTCCCACTACCATCTCTTGGATTTAAGCGTGACGTCTTGCGTGACAGTCCAGATTTTTGGGGCCCCCTGTTTGTTGTGCTGCTGTATGCGATGTTGGCTTTGTATGGGCAGTTTAGGGTACTGTATGTTAAATTTAATCTTAAAGATCTTAAACTAATGAATATTAGTGAATCTGCCATAAAATCCCATTGGTCTATTGTTTTTGAACGATACTTAGTGGTGCTATTATCTTACTGCGGTTTTTCATATTTTGCGAACTAAGACATTTTAACGGCTTGTTGTGAAATTGGTTTTTCACTGATGCCAGTCAAGAACACAAAAGGTACCAACTGATTATTTTTGATTGACGGCATTGAAAAACCAAATTTCAGCATGCAGCTTGCAACTACCGAGTTTGCAGAATATGGAAAACCGCAGTAAGAGAGCTTTATACAACAAGGCCCGGGAATTTAACCTGAGACTCAACCTAGAGGTGGAAGCTAGTGAGCAATATTGCTACCACTACCATCGCTACTTATGCACCCTTGATCCCAAGCCTAGCATATCATAGTAGAATATATGAATTATAATCTTAATCAACAGTAATATGCTTGATATTTTTTTGATAATATATATTTCTTCATAGGTGGTGTCATGGATAATTACCATCTGGTTATCTGGATCTTTGATCATATTCTTGTTGGCTAGAGTTCTCGGGGGAGAGGTAGGTGACCTGCCATCCCATTCCTTCAAGAATATACTTTTCTGTACATCCATATTAATATATTTCTCAAACTTCATAGGTCTGATGTATAGGGCTTAAGATAACGGCCCGTCAGTCGGCAGTCATGTTGACTGGCCAGATTAATTTTTGGCTGAATGTTACTTTAGGTGAAATGGCCAGCAAGTCAAGTATTTGACTGTACAAGTTTCCATTCTGGCCTGACATTTTCAGATGACCAGCTGCATTTTTTATGTTTAAATATGTAGCACTGTCTTGCAACAAATGATTAAAAAATTGCAGAAAATTTACCCCTTTGAAATTCAATCTACGACATTATGAAAATTGATATATTTAAAGACCATATGACAGCCATTCTTCCCATTTGTTTTTCATTGTGCAGGTAAATTACTCACAGTGTCTTGGTGTTATTGGTTATTCAATTATTCCTCTGGTCTTGACAGCCCTTGCATTACCATTGGCTCGGTACTTTCCAATGCTTGAGTTCCTGATAAAGGTAAATGCAATGAAACACATTTTCCCAAAGTATTGGTTGAGTTGCAGGTTCAATAGACCATTTTTGAGTTCTAAATTACTTCTGTGTTCCTTGATTGCATACTCACTTACTCAGTATTAGCCTTGAATCAGTGTCCAAATATTCATGAATCCAAACGGTAAAGTAAAGGAATGCACAACCTCAACAATGCAAACACTTTGAAATTCCATGGACCTTCATTGGAACACTTGAATATTCTACATAAAATTGAGGCTAATCCTTAGCAAGAGAGAACTCAAAACTGGAGTATTTTTGCAGAGGCCCAAGTGGATAAAGTTTGTTTGATGCTTTGTTCTCTACCTTGCCACTAAGAGGGTTTTTTTTTGGGTACTCCAGTTTTTAACCCTCTGCTTACATCTACATGTGAGATAAGAGATGTGTGCATGGAGTATCAAATGTAGTGGTAGTGAGTGTGGAGTGTATTGTATGCTCAAGCATTAGTCTCTGGCTAGGGAGACTCAGCAACAACTCTCTGTATCACTATCTTAAAAAGAAAAGATTTATTTATCAAGCATATTAATTTAAGAATAAATGCAATCCACTGGGCCAAAACAAGTGTTCATGATAGCAGGATGTCCACATTAGATGTAAAGTGCAACTCTAATCTTATCACTCTAATATCATTTTTTCATTTATCCACAGGCTTTTGGTGTAGTCTGGGCTTCCTACAGTGCAGGATCACTTTTAATCCAAGAAGAACTGAAAACAAAAAGACCACTTCTCCTTTATCCCATTCTGCTTCTGTACATATACTTTTTCTCACTCTATACGGGAGTATAATAATATTGCTGGAAGAATATTAATAGACATTCTAAAGAGACAAAGACTCATTGAGACTCATAAAGCTCTCTTGAGATAAGAGTCTTAATGCAGAGGCCACAATGCAGAGGACTAATTCGCACCTTGCATATACAAGGTGTGAATAAATTATTAACTCAAAATATTGCTCCTTATAAGGGAAATGGGAAGTTGGCAATTGCAAAATTCAATGGCAAAATTATACAAGCTTCATTTATAGCACTGGTTTTGTTAGTTTGTTGTGTCTCTTGAGCTCACCTCAACCCAGTAGCAAACAAGCAACTCTAGTGCAAAGTGTATACATTAGGATAACGAATTGAGACAACTGAAGTTAGATCATTCATAATCTTTAGACAGACAAGTACTGGCGGTGTACAGGCAGATAATAAATTAATTTCCTCAAGAAATCTAAAAACAGAGTTTAAAATTCCCTTGATTATTAATATTATTAAATCTCATGCGTTCAAGATATCTGAACTTCCTCTTAATATCTTATGACAGTGGGTGCTAAAAGCCAGGGTTTTTTTATGACTCAATTTGCAAAACAAAAAATTAGCTATTTGGTTTTAGAATTTTATGTTTATTAGACAGGTGTAAATTGATAAAATAAAGCAAAACAAAATTCTCGTAGAGTTATATAATGTTTGGTTTATATTATATAGCACTCTTACCATGCTAAGTTATTGATGATTTGTCACAATTTGCCTCATAATGAATCGAATCATTTTATGAAATGGTTAAAATGGTGGGCCAAGTAATTAATTTTGTGTGGGACTGTAATTGCTTTCTGCCTGATGCAAAAGGCAATAAAAAGAAAAACACATATTGAGAAGTATAATGTTGGTTGAAAACAGCAGTTGAGTCTTCTCAATCAAGGACAGTCTTTCTGGAAATTTAAGTGGCTCCTTTTCACAGCTGGAGTTAATTCAAAAATTTGGCTCTTATGGTTTTGGTAGAAATATCATTTACAATTTCAAAATTAACCCACTGATGTCTGGAACTGATGTCATTATTGCTCAATAATATCAGCTTAGTCTTGTCTCCTGTTTTATAGCTACTTCCCAYGCATGTTAGTATGACTTTTGTCTATTTTGCCCTGGGAAAATTGAATTTAGGTATCTGGGAATGGGGAAAAACCAAAATGGAAATATGAAAATGTTTACAAAGAAAAGTGAAGTGGGTTTTGTAGGGAAAAAAAGGGTGGAAAATGAGATTGGAATCCCACTTAAGCAAGATTACATTACAAAGTAGATGGTGCATATTTATTACACAGTGGAGATGATTGAAGGGGGATTTTTTAAAATTTGGAATGGGGTTTTTTCAAACTCAGTCACATGCTGGCTTATTACCTATCATGTTGTAAAAAGGGAACATGTTGATACATGAACGATGTGGGAACACAAGCTTCAGTTTCATTCTTATTCCTCTGGCACTGATGCACACTTAATAGAAAGTTGTAATCAATAATCAGATTCGTGCCATCACTATATTATTGAAAACCTTTTAATCTTTTTTTTTTTTCTTTTTTTTTTTTTTGACATTATATTCATTAATAACCAAATAAGACATTTTCGTTATAGAATACTCATTTCAATCTCTTCACATTTTTCTATTTTTTCCCATCCACATTTTCAAAACAGAGTTTTCATATCCCACAAAGCATTGTGGTCGAGCAGCAAATGAACACCAGAACGAGGCCAAATCAAAATGGCGCGTGTTCTTGTTGCAAGAAGGACTAGAGGAATGCTCCTGAAAAAGCACTAAAAATGCAGCCTTGCTTGAAGGTTTTTACAACTCAATCCCCTTCACACGTTAAAGATGTCAGAATGCTGTAAAGATTTGTTTTTAACGCTCGAAAAGTGTAAGTGTTGCATTTTTTATCTCAGTGTGAGAACTCGGAATGGCGGCTGTTTTTGCGCCGTCGCCGCTCACAACCCGGTTAACAAGCTTGCTTCAAACTCTTTTTAATGATTCCCAGATGAACTAGATGATCCACAATTTACCAAAGATGACACCTTGACAGTTGTTACTTATATTTTATCCTGGCAACAACGGTAAGACGGGAGACACTTTATTCGTATTTCCTGGCAACTTTTGCCTCGTGCGAGAAAAAAAAAACACCAAAAATATATTTTTTTTCTTCAATTTTTAAAATAAAAGGCTAAACAAATTTGTACTTAATTTTAGGCAATGTAGATGCGTCTTTAAAGACCAACTAAATCTCTCCCGACTCGAAGACCAGCTTCAGATTATTCTCGGTTGTGCAATAGAGAGTATAAGCTCTTGGTCATTGGAACCAGAGGACATCAATGGCGAACAACAGGAGCCTTGGAGCGACATTGAAAAAGAAAAACTCTTTCTTGCCGTCTCTAAAATCTTTCAAATTCATTTTCCCTTTTACCAAGCGAGACAGATTCCCCTAGTGCGACAGGTTTGTATTCTATAGATGATTTTAGTTGAACTGTTTGGACAAACTTGTTTCATTTAAGTTATTGTTTTGGGAAGGTCAGAAGTTTATGCAATACCGTTGTAAAAAAAAAGCATTCACCTTATTTTGCTCCTGGAAAAACCACTTACAAGTCTTATTTGACGTAAACTTTGTTTCCAATTATTATTGAACGGCTAAACAATTTTCAAGTGTCGTTATTTGACTAAGAATTCCCAGACCTTGTCAAATGTTATGATAAATGGATACCTCATTTTGATCGATTTGTTATTACAAACTTGAAAAAACTTGAATGGATTTGTTAAATATTTAGCCATAAAACTCATTCATTGGTTTTGTTATTTTTTTGCAGGATATAACAGCAAAAGATTGTTCAAAATACTGTGACATGAGTGTAAGCAAATTTGCTGTTGTTGTGTGAGATTTGTCAATACTCCTTTTAACAGTTCTGTTAAGTGACCACGAATAATAGTTCCAAGTCGAGATTGGAGTTTATATGGAAACTATACTTTATATCATGCATGGCAACTCCAGCCTTGGCCTGGAAGTATTATTCATGGTCACAGAACTGAACTTTAAAATGGAACATWGTGTGATAAAAAGTATTGTTTTGTCTGTGTTTATTTTGCCACTCATTCATTCATTCACTAACTCTCTCTCTCACTAATTCATTCATCCATTAATTCATTCTTTGATCTTTCATTTACTTGATTGGTCCATCACTTTTCAATCTCTTACAGATACTACATATAAAGAAATATTGCTCCCAATTTACTCGATGACCATATGTTTTTACTCATTCATTTCCTTAAAGCTTATCAACTATTTTCTTCTAAGTTTGGGAACAACTTCAGAACAGACTCCTTGCATGTGATGTTGAAGCAGTTCAATTTGGAGGACAAAACAAAATAATTTCAGTCTCATGAGAATTGAAACCTATTGTTATGTCCTCCAAATTGAGGTGCATTCGTGAACGTGCTGCAGGGGGTTTATATATTGTTCTTCTATTGATATTTCATCATTTTCAAAAGACTTGCTTTATTCTAAAAAAAGGTTCATAGCCTGGTATTCTCAAATTGCTTCTAATTTTGCAACTTTCTTAAAAGCTAAGAAAACATATCACAAGGACTCATCTTCAAAATTTAAGGATCGAATCAGTTTATTATTTTATATGAATAGAAGTTGAGGAAAATATGTACATTGTCTGGAGCGAAAACAGGTGTTTCARGAGGCAAAACAATGAATAAAGTTTGATCATGTATGTTGAACTTTAGAATGAATCCAACTCAACTCACATTAGAATCCTGAGATCTCAAATAATATCTTTCAAATCACCTGAGCATTAAGTAGTTTTTTTCTTGCGACTATAACATTTAAATGATGCCTTTCCCTACTTTCCTTAGTGTACATGGGCACAGGGTTTTACTTGACACCTAATATAACTCCACTATTCTCTAAAGCTATTACTAGTTCTTATTTTATTCATTACTCACCAATGCAACAATTAAAAAAATTGGCTTCATACCCAACCATTCCCATGATCCTTTGCACCTGGAGGTCATTACCAGTATTCTTTTGGACTTCAGAGAATACAAATTATCTTTGTAGTATGTATTTATAGGATATTTTAGTGTGCTCAAAGATGCAACTAATGGCATATTATCTCATAGGTTGGTGAAGTTGCAGAGGCATTGCTGATAAATATTGCATATTTCTGTGACAATGGAGGGCTTGCAGCGATACAAGAAGCCTTCCAAGCAACAGGAGACAAGATGTTACCTTTCCCTATTGCTCATCTACTTATCAGCATTGTTAGCCAGGTATACAGTGATCTTTCTTTCTTTTTCTCTTGATTGATAGAAATAGTAATTATAGCAAAATAGAGGCTTTGTACCATCACATGATGGCAAAGGTACAACTATAGAGATGTTGCGAAGCTTGAATGGTACCTATCTAGCTTGCGGCCATGTCCTGTGGACCCCTGGTTCTCAGGAGCTTGGAGATAATATGGCATTATATATTGTGATATATGGAGATGGGGTAGTCTCCCCAGCTATACTAGAGTCTGTCTTATAATCAATAATAATGATTAATTATAATCAATGATATCATTAATCTGTTTTTCAGTTGCGAGTGTGGTTTAGTGTCCAGGCAATAGTCCAGTATATTGTTCCACTTCGAGGTCCTGTTATTAGGTATGCTCATTGACATCAGTATTATTTTTCATACCCTTGTCCCTTCCTGCCTCACCATTAACAGCTGAAAGCTTAGTAGAAAGTGAAATTTATATTTGTTAAAATAACTATTTAAATATTATCTAAAGGAGTGTCACTTACTGCCATTTTCATAAACATGCGACCTCGCTAGCTGCGAGCTGCACGCTGAAAATTGGTTTTTCGCTGCCGCCAGTCAAAAATATGAAAGGTACTGACTGATAAGTTTCAATTGACGGCAGCGGGAAAAAAAATTTCAGTCTGCAGTTCGCAGCTAGCAAGTTTGCATGTTTATGCAAAATAGTAGTAAGCTTAATTGAGCACTACATTATTCAAAGAAAGCACACTTTTACCTGCTTTTTTTGTTTTTACCAGATATTTATGCCAACTATCTGACAAGGAATTACGGCAACAAGATGGCTGGGCAATGGCTGATTCAATGTGGAATGGAGTCAAAGGACCTTCAGAATCAATGCCTATATTTGATAGTTTCACAATGTAAGTTCGTTTCTTTACTATCAATGCAATTTGAATTATTAAACTTCATGCCTTTTTTTTCCATCTCATTTACAGAGATAGTCTGGACCTGGCTTTCAAGTATTTCACGTCTTCCACTTTAACAGTGAGATTGGCAGGCCTCAGTCAGATTGCAGTAAGCTATCTTTATCTACTACAACCTTTCTAAATTCCAATTCTAAATCTGTATTTATCTTGTGTTGATTTTTATTGGCTATACCTTTTGTTATTTTAGAATCAAGTTCACATGTTCATGGATATATATCAAGCTAATAATGTGGGGGAGGCTGTAAAGTAAGTAGTGAGGCCGTTTCCCATGGCCTTGCCTCGCTACATTTGTACCTTGACAGGGGGGTATCTAGAGTGGGTCCTAGGGTACCCCTGACCCCCCACCCTCTTCCTAGGCCAAAGGAATGATAAAAAAGTTAAAGAATCTGGTTTCGTATTTTCACTTCCTTTTTTGGTTCAGCATTGCTGAGGGGACAACAAAATCACGGCTTTTTGAATTTGTGCCCCCTCCTCCTATTTGGAACACTCTGACTATGCTCCTGCCTGGATATTTTGAAATCCTATAATGTCAAACTTTTTCTTTGGTCATACTAGTAGGTTTGAGATAACAGGACTCCTCGGCAACCCAATTTCACAGATACTAAATGGATTATTATATCCTTGTAACATTTTTGTATCATAAAAAGGCATCTTTTGCTCTATTTCTTTCCTTTTTTAGCATTGGTGCTGAGTTGTCTCAATGGCTGGTCGATAATAACATTATTGAACACTTATTTGGACCAAATCTGCATGTCGAGGTATGACCAGCATGAAGTATAAAGGGTATCAACACTCTCAAACAAATAACAGTAATATTGCGACATGCAGATATAAGGCATTTCAAAGGGCTTAAAATTAAGGCCGATTAGTGGCCAGTCATGATTACAGACCAAATTAGTTTTAGCTTAGTGATACCTCATTTCTGGCTAAACAATAATTTTTACTATTAATCAAGTATTGATGGATTGCAAGCATTTCCAAGAGAGTCAAAAGACAAAAACATAGCGGCCATTGTGGTGCGGTTAACAATGGATGCTAATGAGAAATCTTTTGTTAAGTGGCACCAACATGGCTGTGATGACGTTGTGTGCAATCAAAGGCCTCTTTTACATTGGCGATTTTTGCTGTGATTTTTGTGGCAACTTTCGGAAATATGAAATCTTTTGTCTCATCCTTCAAAAGAGACATTCGTCTAGGAAAATCTTGGTATCCTGAAAAAAACTTGACAAGTAAATTCTTTACCATTAATTATTATGAACAAAATCGCAAAAAAATCGCAAAAAAATTGCTAGTGTAAACGGGGCTGAAGAATACTGGCCAAAATGACCGGCAATACAAAAATTTCACCAGACAAGTCTCAGTTCTGGCCAGACATTGTCCGATATCCGGCCGTTATTTTAAGCCATGCTTTCACAAGTCTTGCTGTAATCTATATTCTATTAAGCTTATTATATTTCAAGGTTAATGATAATGAAGGTCTCACTAACACAGTTTGTGTATGTGTTCTTTGCCATCCATGTAGCTGCTTAAACAATCTCAAGTAATACTAAACTATATGGCCCAAGAAGATTGTATAACCAACCAACACCTGGACTGTATATGGGCCGCTGCACAGGTAAGTATGTTACTTTTAAGACAGTGCTTATGAGCCTTTACACAATATTTTCAGAATTGATTCTTTAGATACTGAATAGTTGATTTTGAAAAATATTTTGTCATTTGAGGGTCACATGATTGAGATACAAAGGTTTATATTCCCACTATGTTAATGATAATGACGTAATGTAAGGAATTTGATTTATTATTTTAGGATGATAATGGGTGTAGCAATCATACAAAAGTGGGCATGACTGTCATAAGACTGTCATGTTTGGTGATTTTTGTAGTAACTTCAATCAATATCTTTCAGCTGAAGCATGCGAGTCGTTATGTCCATGACTTGTTGACAGTCCTCACCAAACAGCTCCAAATGCAATCCATTCGGTATCTTTTGGCTTTGGCTTCCAAGCTCCACCCTTCTATGCACACGAAGCAAACTCTCTTCTTGGCTTCACTTTTGCTGAGGATTTATTGGAGCTCAGGGCCGTCAGATGTAGTACAAGGACCTTCAGGGGGTCATGTGACCAGCCCGGTACAAGGACCTATAACTGCTAGTGAGTATGGCTTTAATTTCTCTCTTCCCACTCTCTCTTCATTCCTTCATCTATCCACCCATTTATCCATCCATCCATTCATCTATTTATCAGTTAGTCATTTATTATTTTTTCTGCATACCCAATCAAGTGTTCAATGAATATCATTCTTACAATACTCTCTTTTCTACCATCCATCCACCATTCTTCCATCCATCCATTTATTCATTTGTTTGTTCATTCATTCATTCGTTTGACACATAATATACTTCGTTAGTTAAGTATAATCCAAATATGAACTGACCGCTTACCGCATGTTCTTACCATATGATGCATGTGGAACAAAGCCAGTGCTAGAGATAACCATTATCTAAGCATGTTTAGCAATGCCTTGACATAAGGACTTGTAATACAAATGGTAACATTCATTGATTATAATGTATAGAGGCACTTTCATTGGTTGTGAGATCTCAGGATGGAAGAAAATAGGAGTAACAATTGGAACAAATTTTAATGATTAGGAGACGTGCAACCTATTCCCACCTCGTTCAGATGCTTACATGTTATTTATGTTTTAGGTGCAACATCAGCTGCTGTTGCTGCTGCAATGCAGAGGAAATTCAGGAACAATGGAGGAAGCATGAGTCAGAGCAGCAGTAGAAGCAATAGTATGAGTGAAATAAGTATTGATGGTGATCAAAGAGATATTGAAGAGCCATCTTCACCAAGAAAGTTTACTGAGTAAGTACTGAATTTATTTCTTCCCTCCTTCCTTCCTTCTTTCCTTCCTTCCTTCCTTCCTTTCTTTTTTTCTTTCCTCCATTTATTCATGAATATGGAATATATGAATATGGAATATTGGAAGCACAGGTGGCGTAGCGGTGAGAGCGCTCGTCTCTCACCAATGCGACTAGGGTTCAAGTCCTGCTGGGCTCATTGTCGTATGTGAGTAGAGTTGTTTGTTGGTTCTCTCCTGTGCTTCGAGGGTTTTCAGGGTTCACCGGCTTTCCTCCCTCCGCAAAAATCAACTCCTAAATTCCAATTGGAATTACAGTGGATGAATAGCTACTCTGTAGAAATGCCACTGCTAGATCCCATTTATTTTATTTTATTTTTATTAATATTTTATTTGCATTCATAAGTAATATCCCTTTCAGTTTTATTTTAATAGACATTGGGTATTGAATACTTATTATAACGCCGGAAAAAAATCTCAATACAAACCTCTCAATGCATACATGGCTTTATTCCGTATTCAATCATGTTTCTAGAACAAAATCGATGCAACATGTAATATCTCATGAAAATTGTTATTCTTTAAAGCCTTCCACCACAAGACCTAGAAATGGAAGAGGTCAACTGTGAAGAACATCAATCAACCCTCCCGCCTGACTTTGACAGCCCTAATGCAGACTATCCTAATCTGGACAAAGGTGAAGAGGATGCTGATATTGACAGTAACAGTTGTACAAACAGCCATGCTAGCTCTCTCTCTGACAGAAGAGATCTTGATGACTTTGATGGTGATGATGTAGAAGATGAACTATCACAGCTTAAAGCTGTTGCAGCGCTGAGGAATATACAGAACACTTATGGAGAGGACAGGAAAGGATTTGATCTGAATACCGTGTGTGATAAAGGAGAGACTCTTCTGTGGGATCTCTTACAAGATGAGAATGCTGTAAGTTTCTATACACTGAATTGGTTTGGGGATGACCCCATGTCATAGGGAAATAGAAGGTGGTGTAGCTGTCTCTCAAGTCTGGGTTCTCTGGTGCAATTCCTGTATTCAGCGTCTCATGCAAGGTCTGAGTTTTAAATTTGATCTTCTCAAGCATTACGAGCAGACAAAGAAACCATACTCGGAAGAAAAACTCATGGTCTGCATTAGAAAGAATGTGATCTAAATTCAGTTGGTTGTATAAGCATCCTTGAGCTATGATTTGATAATAAAAATATCGACATGGTTCTTATATAGCATAATCTCAGCACACTGATCAATGCACTGACCTCTTAACCACATGTTGGTACTTACGATACATGTGGCAYGAAAATGGTGCTAGACATTACCATGGTCGTAGCATGTCCAACGATAGTTTGGATGTTTGGATGTGTTTTATGAATGGTTACATTGGTTTACCATTGTAACATTGTCACACCAYGAATGAGGTCTATTCTTAGATAGAAATACGCAAACAGTCAGACAGTTGAGCACACAGGGAGGCAGTCATACTCATTGACTGATTAACAACCAAGAGAGATGTACAGAAAGTGAAAAAATAATAGATGGAAGGATAGATGGATAAAAAGACAGAAAGGTAGATGGAAGGATGAGGGATAGATGGAGGGATGGATGGATGGGTAGGGTAGACAGACAGACAGGAAGATGTATGGAGGGAAGGATCAAAAAATGGATGGATGGATGGGTAGGGTAGACAGACAGAAAGAAAGATGTATGGGTTGGAAGGATCGAAAAATGGATGGTAAGACAGACAGATGGATGGAAGGAAGAAGGATAAAGAAATGATGAATGGAAAAATGTATGGGTGGGTGGACAGACAAGCTTGAAGTGAAAGGAAGACGACAGACAGATGGACAGTTAACTTACCTTTCTCTATCCATTATGGATTACATATTAAAATGTGTTCTAAAAGGTATTTATCTCCTTTTCACATAGATCCACTTGGAAGATGGTTTGATTCAGGAGGCAGAGAAGTTGCTTTGTCAGCTCATTTGCTACACAGGAAAGAAGAAAATCAGAATGAAATTCATAGAAGGTTGTGTGGCAAATCTTGCTAACAACAGGTATTACAATGTCTACCACTGTCATAGCTACCATGGATGCAAATCTGAAAGCAAATAAATCATTCTTATGATGTTGATGAAGATGTGTCACTGTTTGTTCCATGGAACCTCCTTCATGAAGCCAATCATATTCTTTATATAGTACTCAGTAGAATGAACTTGGGTAATATTATGGTTTGTCCTTAAAATGCAGGAAATGCTTCTGGACCCTCTCCTCCCCCCCTAAATTCCTGGTTCCCCCACCTATCCATTTTTCCGATTAATCTATTTACCTTCATTCTTGTGCCATTTTCATAGAACAAAATTTTCCATTCTTTTGCTTTTTTTTCCTTCTAGATCTGTAGTCATGTCTATTCAGCTCCTTCCTAAATTATTCAGCTCTTTCCAACAATATGTAAATGTCAGCTCTGGCCCACATTGGGTGACAAAATGGGCCACCTCTGAACTTGGTATCATGGAGTTGTTCTTCAAGAATCTTGTACTTTACATGGACAACAGCAACAACAAGAAAACCTCATCATGTTCTCTGTATAGTCACAAGGATGAAGTCCAAGCAAGGCTGCAGTTYCTGTCATCAATATTTTCTAATGAGCTTTCAAAACCAGAATTTGGTAAGATTAGAATTTTATTGTTTTTTAAAGGTCTCTATTTTTTAATGGATGTTAAGTAGATGTCATTTTTAAGGGAAGAGGGTCTTTTGTAGCTGTTATTTCCAATAATATAATCTGTAATTGAATCTGGTATGTTGTTAAAAAAATTCTTTATAACATAAGCATTTGGGTTTTCCATTACAGTAAAACCCCACGCATAAGAACCTAGATTTTTCCAAATCAGCCTGAACAGGTTCTTATATAAATTAATGGTGCTTAACTTGAAATCAGGCTATCTAGGTTCTTAAATGGGTTCTTAATTTTTGGTAAGAAAAAGAGTACTTGTATTGGTGGGCATCTTATCTCATGGACACAGTGTAAGCACTGTAACACACAGAGTACTTACAAGAAAATAAAACAGATTGACTTTATATTTGGAAATTAAGAACCTACTTTGAAATTTCAGCCTGACAGGTTCTTAAATTTTAGGTTCTTATACACAGGGTTTTACTGTAGTTAGCAAATATTTGTGAATGGGGGTGGGGGGAAGTTGCTAGCTACCATCCATCTTTGGATCAACTCATGGCATCCCCTTCTCTTAATCATAAAACTATGCTGTCTTTCAGGTTTAACTCCAGAGCAAGTAGATGTGCTATGGTCAGCATTAGTGAATGACTGTGAGTGTTCAGATGAGGCATTGGAGTGGTTTGTACAACAGGCTCAGAGTAAAGATCTTCATGCTCTCAACAATGAGGCACTCAAGTACATCTTTACTGAAAAGGTACACTCATGACCCTAACTTGTTCATTACATCATCCTTTTCTATCTTCCTGCTCTCTCCATTTCTTCCTCCATTCTCCCATTTCTTCATTTCTTCAACCTTTTAACATTATTTGTTCAATCAGTCTTTTTTTCGAAGACCTAATTATTTGTTCATTGCATCATCCCTCTCTTTTCCCACTTTCTCTTTCTTTTCTTTATTTATCTATTCATTCATTCATTTGTTTGACAAATATTATACTTTGTTAGTTAAGTATAATTCAAATATGCACTGACCGCTTACCACATGTTCTTACCACATGATGCATGTGGAACGAAGCCAGTGCTAGAGATAACCATTATCTAAGCATGTCCAGCAATGCCTTGACATAAGGACTTGTAATACAAATGGTAACATTCTAAAAATTATGAATTCCTAYGTGAGATCTGAGAATAATAGAAATTGGAGTAACAGTGGGAAAAGAATGATCGGGACACAGGCAACCCATTTGGGGCTCAAAATAATGCCCAGTAAGTTATTGGACGACATCCGGCCAGAATTGAAACTTGTCCAGTCAAATCTTTGTCTTGACATTCATTTTGACCAGTAACGTCGAGCCAGAAACAAAGTATTTCCAAAAAGACTAATTTAGCCAGTGATCATGACTGATAACCGACTGGCCATATTTTAAGCGCTTGTCACGTAATAATATTTAGATGCTTACATGTAGTAAGATCATGATATTAGTGTTATTGTTTATTCTAGCTGCCGTCCATTGCACCTGAAACATTCACAATGACAGGGTTGACGTTACTACAACAGTTGTACAAAATGTTTGAGAATTCGAGTGTTGCGTCTGAGAATACTTGTAAGGTGTATGGAATAGATCAGTTATGGAACATAGCACTACAAGCCAAGTCACTGGAAGTCAGTATGGCAGCAATCAATTATTTAAATTCTTTATATATTAATGGTAAGTCTGGGTGATGATAATGTATGTGTTACTATGGTTGTGGTAGGTGATGGGATGATCATTATGAAGATGGTGATTGGATGTTTATCATGATGTTGGGATAAGAGGATGTTGGTATTGGTGGTGATGATGATAATGTTGATGGTGATGATGATGACAATGATGATTATGATATTGATGATGATGATGATGATCATGTTCAAGATGGTGATGATGGTGATTCTGCTGATGACTGACAATATGGTTATAATGATAATGATAGTATGATGATGATGATGACAGTGATGTGACAGTAATGATGTGATTATGATGATAATGGTGATGATTGTGACAATGGTGATGGTGAAGAAGATGATGATGATGGTGATGATGATGCTGATGGTGACGATGATGATAATGGTGATGATTGTGACAATGTTGATGGTGAAGAAGATGATGATGATGGTGAGGATGATGCTGATGGTGAAGATGATGATAATGGTGATGATTGTGACAATGTTGATGGTGAAGAAGAAGATGATGATGATGGTGAGGATGATGCTGATGGTGAAGATGATGATAATGGTGATGATTGTGACAATGGTGATGGTGATGACAATGGCGATGATGGTGATGATGATGATGATAATGGTGGTGGTGATGACAATAATGGTTATAATGAACCTGCATGATAATGATGATAATGCTAAAGGTGATGCTGTTGATACAAATTTTGGATTAAAAACTCATGGATTCATGGATATGATTACATTCTGCAACTCACATGTTGATGGCAACATTCTAAGGTTGAGAAAAAAACTGTGTCAAGCTGGCATTGTAGTGCACTTTGGGGCAGGCTGGCATCAATTTTATTCCATAAAACAGCTCCAAAATGCACTGCAATGCCAACTTGACCCATTTTCCCCCTAGACCTCAGAAAGGCTAATATTGGTGCTGTTGTTGATCAAAATCGCAATACCAATGAAGTCGATGACAATCATGATAGTATTGATGCTGATAATACTGCTTACTGTTTATTGAAGCTGATGGAGGAAGTCTAAAGTCAGAGGAAGAGTTTATAACTAGGTGTATGTCTAGTATACGAGAAGCAGCAAAACCAAACCACTCCCTTGTAAGTTGATCACTTAACTACATAATCTTTTATTTAGAAAAATATGATTATTGATCATGGTTATTATGGTGAACTTTGTGCAGGAGGCTAAAGAGTTAAGCTTGCAGATCATAGAGAGAGGAATAACACTCTTAAAAAGTCATATTGAGACATTCAAAAAGAGGTATTAAATTTATTTATTATTTACTATACTAATCAGTACATAGTCAATCAATCA